TTATCCTTTTCATAAATCTTCCCAATATTACCCGCACGAGGCGAGAATATATAAAATTTTTCTCATTTATAGAATTTATATGCGCCGTGCGCCAGCCAAGCCCGTACGTACGTGCATTCTGCGAAAGCGGTGTCCTATTTTCATATATCAGATTAAAATTTTATTTTGTACTTCACACTTCTCACTACATTCTTCACCCTTCTCACTACACTCTTCACACTCCACACTTCACATTTCACACTGCACTCTTCGCACCCCACACTTCACTTCACGCTGCACTCTTAAGATTCCACACTTCACACTTCACAGTCCACACTTCTCACTGCGTTCTTCACACTCCACACTTCACACTGCACTCTTCACGCCCCACAATTCACACTGCACTCTTCACACTCCACACATCATCTCATCTGAGTTCTTCTCACCTTGTCTCAGCTCATCTCTTCTTATCTCATCTCTTCTCATATGTCATCTAAATTTTCATGAATCACTTCCCAATATTACTACTAAGGAACTTGCATGCGCCGTGCGCCAGCCAGGCCCGTACGTGCGTGCTTTGTGCGAAGCTATTGCAATGTTGTTGTCCAAGAAGATGACCTGCACGCGATCCCGGTGCAATGCAATGCCAAACAAACACTTTCCTCATACTTCACATTGCACTCTTCATACCCTGCACTTCGCACTTCACACTTGCACTTCATCTCAACTCATCTCATCTGAGCTCTTCTCATCTCATTTCATGTCTTCCCATACGTCAGCTAAGTTCTTCTTGAGTGTACTGCAAAGCTTGCACAAAATACTTCCCAGTACTACTTTGTACTACAAAGCTTGCACAAAGCACTTCCCAGTACTACTTTGCACTACAAAGCTTGCAGAAATTACTTCCCAGTACCACTGCGTACTACAAAGCTTGCAGAAATTGCCTCCCAATACTACTTTGTACTACAAAGCTTGCACCAATTCTTCCCAGTGCTACTTTGTACTACAAAACTTGCACAAAATACTTCCCAGTACTACTTTGTACTACAAAACTTGCACAAAGCACTTCCCAGTGCTACTTTGTACTACAAAGCTTGCACAAAATACTTCCCAGTACTACTTTGTACTACAAAGCCTGCACAAACCACTTCCCAGCAATACTTTGTACTACACAAAGCTTGCGCCCAGTACTACTTTATACTACAAAGCTTGCAAAAAATACTTCCCAGTACTACTTTGTACTACGAAGCTTGCGCAAAGCACTTCCCAGACTACTTTGTACTACAAAGCTTGCACAAGGTACGTGCCAATACTACTTTGTAATACAAAGCTTGCACAAAGAAAGCCTTTACACACAGCAAATTCTTTCGCAGAGAAGCTGTTACACACAGCAAGCTTTTTAAACAGAGAAGCTTTTACACACAAAAAATTTTTACACAGAGAAATTTTTACACACAGCAAGCTTTCACACACAGCAAGGGTTTACACACAGAACACTTACACACAGTGCTTTTATACATGGCAAACGTTTACACGCACAACAAACTTTTTTAACAAAGAAGCTTTTACTCACAGAGATTTTTTTCATACAACAAACTTTTACACAGAGAAACTTTTACACACAGCAAACTTTTACACAAAGAAACTTTTACACACAGCAAACTTTCACACACAACAAACGTTTACGCACAGAATACTTACACACAATGCTTTTACACATGGCACGCGTTTACACATACAGCAAATTTTTTAAACAGAGAAACTTTTACACACAGAGAAACTTTTATACACAACAAACCTTTACACAAAGAAGCTTTTACACACAACAAATTTTCACACACAACAAGCGTTTATACACAAAATACTTATACACAATGCTTTTACACATGACACGCATTTACGCATACAGAAATTTTTACACAGACGCTTTTACACACAAAGAAACTTTTACACACAACAAGCTTTTGCACACAAAATCTTTTATATACAACAAAATTTCACAGAAAAAATCAATTAATTACATAGAGAAACTTTCTTGTACATAATCACAACAGGAATTGCAGCTCCAAAACCGGATCTCAACGCCAAAGCGAAAAAAAAACGATTTTGAAGCACAAAAAAAATGCAAGGAAATTACTAGCACCAAAATTGAGAAAATTTATTGGCAAATCATTGTCGCAGCCTTCACACAGCCACTTCAATATTATTTACGAGATCCAGCTGCAAATGACAATAATATTATGCACGCAGCCGCGGCACCAAGCAACCTTGATGCAGCCATTACAATGCATTTCGCCGCATCGTGTCGCAAGCTACACGGATCTATGCAGATGACAACACCAGATGACAACAATTATATAACCATTCCACTGCGATCTATAATCACAGATTCAAGAAATGCCTAGAGCTATGCACATAGATGCAACCATTCGTTCCCATTTTCCTTCCTCACCACTTCCCTTCCATTTCCCTTACTTATAAAATATCAAATCTCTTACCACCCTATATTATAAATTATTATATTTTTATATGATACAAAATACACATACCACCCTTTATCAATATTAACATGCATTATCCTTTATCAATATTAAATCTCATAATTCGAATTTTGAATATTCAAAACATTCAAAAGCAGTGCCAAATATACCTAAATTCAGTGATCCCAACCAACTTTGCACATTAGCAACCAATGCTATTGGAAAGGGAAGGTGGAGAGCTCTTCGTTTTGCAACCAACAACAAGCATCCCAAAGTGGACAGGGATTGGTTAACCGGGGCCAAAATCAAACTTGACACGGGGTACGGGTGGAGAGCTCTTCGAGGAAGAGCTCGCCGCCCCCCCCAAAAGAAATTCCTCGCCGCCCTCCAAACAACCGGAATACCTCGCCGCCCCCCTGTTGAAAATTCCTCGCTGCCCCCCACACAACCGGAATGCCTCGCCGCCCCCCTGTTGGAAATTCCTCGCCGCCCTCGCCGCCCCCTTCTCAGCAAAAAATGCGGAAAACCCCGGTGGCTTATCCTTGGAATCCTTTAGTGGCCCTTGGTATGGGAGAAGCCAGCTGATGGCAGCCAAGTGCCCCTGATAGTCACTTTTGGACAGTTCGCAATTTTGCAAGAGTAAACATTGACTATGCTTAGTTTATTCTTAAATAAGTGGCTATATTCCCTGACTATTGGAAGTCTAGCATTCTCTTGGCCTAGTGAGGGTTGGAACAATTGTCATTAAAATTCAAATGCGTAAAAGATTCCGCACTGCTGCAGCAACTCCCGGCCAAAACTCAAACACAAAAGCTTTGAACATGAATCCCCCTAAGAACTTCTTGCCATCGATCAGAATCATATATTCAACACATTCATGGTGGCACTACTTCCATGTTGGTTTTCAGCAAAAAAATTATCCTGCGCCAACCCATGCCGAAAACACCAAAAGTGTCGAAAACACTAACTTTTGTGAAAATCCCTTATATATATATAGATACATAATATAAACAAATGTATTACATCCACACATGGCCATCGTCTTTCGCTTATGTGCGGTGGTGGAGCTTCCAATGCGTCAGATCCGTTCTGGATACGCTGGGTCCTCGATATTGTGATGGACGGTCCCAACCAATGGCTGTATAGTAAGTTAAATAAGCAACGATATTCTAGTTGAATAGCCTAGTACTTGACAGATTTAGAGGAGGTAGAAAGTCGCCAGAATAGTTACAGGAATGGTTCCCCCTAAAAAATCTTCCCTTGATGGAGTCTGGGTAAAGTAGCAAAAGAATTTCGAAGATATTCTAATTTCTCAATATCTTAGGTCTTAGGATATGACATGGACGCGCTTTCAAGCTTTGCGCTCGTTTATTGGGAGAACTTCAAGTGTGGTCCACTCAAATACACACCTCCACAAATATCAGGAAACATACCATATCATTCCACAAAAGCAAGTCATACAACTCGCAACTGAAGTCTGGCGTATGGGACCAGGTGCAGACATAGCAATCATAGACAGAATGACAGTGTTGCGCAAGGACGCAATCCATTCAGCCATGCCTGGTACGTGCGGCTTGTATGGCAAGGATGGAGATAAGATAAGATAAGATTAGATTAGATCAGATTAGGTTAGACTAGATAGATAGCTAGATAGATAGATAGAATGATAGATAGGCAAAGCGTGGTAACGCCACAAAAGCCACACACCCACAAAGCCACAGAAGCCACAAAGCCAGGCTGGAAAACAAAAACACATTAAAAAAATACGAAAAACACTAAAAAATAGCCCCCCCGCTACAAAATTTTGGACCTGGATTTCATGTCACGGTTAGCCTAACTAAAACGGAATCCCTCTGCAAGAGGCACAAGGCCACAAACTTTGTAGCTTAAATTCATAGAGGGATACAAATATCCTGTAATACAAGCATCGAAATTTGTTGCAAGACAAAACATGAACTTTTTCCAGTCACACAGCTCCAACACAATGAAATAGTACAAGTCTTGAAAGTTCTAGCAGTCTGGTGATGCCAAACTTGAACTTTTTCCAGGCGCACGGTCTCCCGATACGACCTTTCGCGAACTGATTTCACTCAACCCTAGCACCAAAAGCGTCAAAAGAAACTATCTGCATATTGCCATCGTAAAGGCACCAAAACGTACGCGCCTCGGTGCTACTGCCACTGTTTTGATGAACACAATAGCCATTTTGCACATCCTTTTTTTCAAATATGTTTCTTGTAAGTTTGCAAGCTTGTCTTATTTTGCGAACATGATCTTTCTGCTTGGCAGAAATCAAAACACAATTTCAAGCGGTTTCAAAGCGCCACCTTCCAGTGTGTCCTTGCTCGACGGTGATATATATATATACACATATTTTTTCTTCACTTGTTCTTGGAATAAGCAAACCTTTCAAACAGCACTGTGGAAGATGTGCGCGCAATTCTCCGGTCACCCGGCTGGTGGATTCTTCGAATCGCGGGGCGGGTTCTGACAGGGTACAAAGACCTCTCACGCTAGTGCTTGTCTTGGCACGGGCTTAGGGCTTGCAGGTTCAGATCCTCTAGCGTTTCAACAACAGATCCAACTCTTGTCTCCTCCTTCTTGAGTGGTCAGCAACTGCGAGTGCAAGATATCAGGCGAACCAACATTATTCATAGATCAAACGAGCAACCACCAAACATGGCATCAAAGAACTCAGATTCGCGAACCTGACCCACTAAATCAATCTAAATCATACATCTTGAATTCCCAGCTTGTCACAAACTGCATTCATCATCCGAACTATCAAAGACGACTTCAGCCGGATGGCAATGATGTCCGTCTTTGACACTGGCCCACGACATTTCAAGAGACCGTCTACCATTTCCTCGAATTCCAATTCGCCACTGAGATCCTTGGCTGTCACTAGATTGTTTTAGGATGTCTGCACAGACATGCACATTATGGACATGCACATGGACACGCGGATGGACTGCATATGGACGTGCGCATTGTGAACATTGAAATGGACATGCGTAATGGACCTTGAGCATTCTACAAGCTGCACTGCTGCACCATGCCCTGTCCACAGCACCTGTCGCAGATCAGAGCTGCGTTTCTTAAAATTACACCGGCAAGAGACCCCAAACAGTGTGTGTGAGGATAATGTATGATAATGTTGAGGAGGATGATGATGATGATGATGATGATGATGAGGATGATGATGATGATTATGGTGATTATGATGATTTGGGGAGTGCCTTGGCCTCTTTGTCTGTGGAGGCCAGAAACTATTTCTTAAATAAACCCAATTTACAGAAACTATTTCCTAAATAAATCCAAATTTGAAAACTTTTTAAACAATATCCAATAGATTAAACATCTATAACAAAAAACAAAAACGTAATATAAGTTAGGCCTTCTAGGGATTGGTTTGAAACGGCTTGAAACGGTTTCGGACTACTACCTGGTAAGTAGTATGATGTGAAACGGTTTGAAACACTTTGGGACTATTTGCTAATTAGCCATACTTTGAAACTATTTGAAACTATTTGAAACTATTTGAAACTATTTGAAACTATTTTGCCAGAGCGAAGTAGCAAGTAGCAGGAAACGGTTTGAAACGGTTTGAAACGGTTTCAGGCTATTACCTAGAAAGTAGTCGGAAACGATTTGAAACGGTTTCTGTGATACCCGTAGTCTGCCTTAAACCATCAAACAGGACAATATACTGACAAAGATAGACATAGATTGTGATATAGTATGAAAACTGACTGAAAAGTAAAAACGTAACAGTGCCTGATTCTGAGATGGAAAGTCAATGAACATAGAACGAAAGAGAATGAAGAACGCCTGCACCAACAGCCTGGCAGCTTTTCTCTCTTGGTGAGATGGTTCTTTTGTGTGGGGCAATCTCTGGACTTCAAGTGATTGAATGGTATCCTTGTCCAATGGTTGGGATTGGTAACAGCAAACCTGGTTTTGTAAATAGTTTCTGGGTTTGGGGCCCTAATTAAGAAATCGTTTCTGGGATTTAAGAAATTGTTTTTAGGATTTAAGAAATAGTTTCTAAGATTTAAGAAAGAGTTTCTAGGATTTAAGAAATAGTTTCTAAGATTTAAGAAAGAGTTTCTAGGATTTAAGAAATAGTTTCTAAGATTTAAGAAAGAGTTTCTAGGATTTAAGAAATAATTTCCTTTCATATTTAAATCTTAGGAGGGTGAAGCTGGTAGGCTCGCGAAGAAACCGGGCTCCCCAGGCTCCCCCGACAGGCCCGGACAGTCGAAATGCACTTGCACATTTCACAAAAGCCATTTTGTGCAAGAATTTACAAAGAAATGCCGCAGACCAAGACCGCGGACCACACTTGGTGCGAGCCTGCGCAGTCGAAATGCATTTGGACATTTCACATGCAAAAGTTATTTTATTTTATACGAACATTTACAGATAAAATGCCGCTGAGCAGCTGGAGCACCCTGATCAAGCACCGGCCTTTACACTTACCGTAAGAGCCCCTCAGTGTGGGCACACTGTTTGGGGAAAAAAATCATGCGAAGTCAAACCGCGGACAGAAATCAATTTCATAATACCACAAGTTCACAAGCATCATGCAATGCAAATCGAAAAGTTGACGCCAGCTATTCACATGATATGTGCCACTGAGCACTGACTTTCCACTGCACCGGAACTTTCCGGAAAGTTCCGGAACTTGATTGGGGAACGGCACTGGGAACCACACCGGAGCCCGGAACCTGACCTGCGCTCCACAGGAACCTTCCGGAACCTGACTACTTGGGAACCGCACCGGAACCTTCCGCAACTTGAGCGGGGAGCTGCACCGGAGAACGCCGGAGCTTATCTGGGCTGAAGATCCCTTTAGCAGACGCTGCTGCGAAAAAAACATGAGTTGCTTTGGTTCATGGCGGTCCCCATGCATCCCCGGCACTTTTTGTGTTCCTTTCATGGTACGTGCTTGTGTTAATTGTCATGTTGAGGCAACGTTCAAAAAACCCAGCCCAATGTTTTTCTGGTGTCACATCCCAGTCTCGGCATCCAGTACATCAAACAAGTCAGACTTGCAACTCATGTCGATTTCCGATTCGTCAAGTCGGCTGATGAGCTCTTTCTCACAGTTGAGCCAGGTGTTGAACTCGTCCTTGGAGAACAAACTTCAGCTTAGTGCTAGCATCTAACATAAAACCTACGTCTTGAATCTTGAATGAACCAAGCCTCACCAACCTTTGCTGGGGTACCTTACTGCCTACAGTATCTTTCTCACAGCCGCGCAAACGTTCTGCTTCATCTTGTACATCCAGCAGCAAAGAGGCATGTGGCGATGCTAAGTCAAAATTTAAGAATATGCGCTTCCGTCAGTTCAGTTGTAGTATAATAAAAACTCCCAACTCTTCATCACAGTCAGCACAAGGTCATCTCGAGAACAATAATGCAAGGCAGTCCTTGGTAACCACCACTTCTCGCTTTGTCATTTGCTTTCGGATCTCTTCCGTCTTCTCTTCATACTCTGCATTTGTGTGCGTATGCTTGCCATACCTTGGGGTGCCCCCGAAGAGTTGTCAACCACCAGGCTGGACAGAAAAGGGGTAACTTACTTCATCGGCCAACCACACGATCACAATGGTATCTTCCGGTGTCAGCATCCCAACCGAGTGCCATTTGCACATCGAATTTGAGTGTGAATTAGCTTGGACATGCTGTGCCTCAGTTGAATTCTATGAGTACATTCCGCAGCTGCCATGCAGTGTGACGACAAACATACAACAACAGCAACAACAGCAGCAACAACAGCAGCAACAACAACAACAGCAGCAGCAGCAACAGCAATAGCGACAGCAACAGCAACAACAACAACAGCAGCAGCAGCAGCAATAACAACAGCAGCAACAACAACAGCAACAGCAGCAGCAAAAGCAGCAGCACCACCACCAACAACAGCAACGACACAGAAAAAACAGCAACAACAGCAACAGCAACAGCAACAGCAACAACCACAGCGACAGCAGCAGCAGCAACAACGACAACACCACCACCACCAGCAGCAGCAGCAGTAGCAGCAGCAAGAGCAAGAGCAATAACAACAGCAACAAAAGCAGCAACAGGCAACAGCAGCAACAGCAGCAACAACAGAAGTGGATTTAGAAGGACCTTCTTCCCTTGCAGAATAAAGAAGCAATGGCACTACCATGCATTCAGTTTTGGCTTCATCCACGACTGGGAACTCAGAGTATACATGACATGTGTTTGATGTTAAGTAGTACTATACACCAGTTGTCTCGATCCTCAAGGAACAAGTCAGCAACAGCACAGCAGGAAGCGTTTGGAAATGGAACGAGCGTCAGAGCTGCAGTCCAATTTCTTGTGCTCATGTCCAAGCTTTCTGTGGACAAAACATTGGGTCAGACCTACGTTTTTTCACCTGTCGGAGTCCAAAGGCGGGCGAAGGCAAGGCGCATTTCTTGAAGGCTGCTTATCTGTTCCTTGAGAAGCTTGGACATTCGGCGCTTGTTTGCTTGTCCTTCTTGTTCTTGCTGATACAGATTCGTCAAGATGATGTGTCCTGAGAATGACATGCCCTGAGCCCTGGAATACTGACAAGTTTCAAGCTGCTACCAAAATGATCGAGAGTGATCACCTGCGCGAAAAGGAGAAACCAACAGAAAAATGCTAACAGCGCTGGATTCATTTGTCTGACAAACTTGCTCGCCAGTGCAAACAAAACGACGTACCTTTTTGAATGGAAAACCGTTTGCTTGCCCCGCCGATTGCTTGATTCTAGTGGGCACAGGAAGCCCTAGTTGGTCCTACAGTGGCCAGAACCAAAACCCACTTAGAAACCCACAAGATGTCTTGTCAACTCAAAATTGGGCACCTAAACAACGCCAGAAATTGTTATACACCCAATAGTTCAATGGATATACATTTGATTTTGATTCGGATTACGCTCATATGTGGATGAAACCATATTGAAACCCTGACTATCTGTCACCAAAAGTATACAGTATCGAGAACATGGTGCCCTTCCACGCTTGCACATCTTGCCCGATGCTGACATGTCTCTCAGGGCAGAGGAGATGAGCCATGCAGTCTTGGGGCCATTTTGGCCCAATTGACGCTGTCTCTTTTTGGTACTTCCATCCGAGACGTTGTCAATGAAAACTGCCTCGGAAGGAACAAACTAGACTGCTCTCGAAGCTTCTGGACCAAACGGGTTTTGAAGTTTCTTTCGTGTTTCCATTCCGGCCTGCTTTCACTAAACCAGGAGTATATAAATAAGTAGTAAATAGATGTAAATAGTGTTATTTGACCTTCACTCGCTGTGCACCTCCGTCCAGGCCAATGATGACAACATGTCACAACTTTGAGCTGAGGCACGATGATGAGGTTGAAAATCCCTGTTGTGATGAAGAGGAAGATCAGGATATACGAAAACATAAATGGCGCACCGAAGAATCTTCCTTGCGAAGACCCATCTTTGCGAATTGGCGGGGCAGGTCACTCTCAGCCCAAGTATGGGCAGTGCAATGCAGTTTACAGTAACTCAAGCAGGGTTGGCCTGTGTGCAAGTCCAAGTCACTAAGAACATTGTCTGGGTTTGATTTGTTCCAATACCAAGCCGATTTTGTTGCACCACCCCGTTGCTGCACTCTAGTGCCTAGTGTTTCGAAACATCATTGGCTGCCCAAGTGTACTTGTCGAAGAATGGGAACATGGGAGACCAACAAGTTCAATCCCGTGCCAAACTATGTCAAAGCCAACCATGCTCTTGAACGTGTGGCAAACCCCACAGAGAACACATCACCTGTGGATAGCTATGGGACAAAAGGCCAGGCGCCTGAGGCATTGGACTTGTATACAACTTACATCAACTTATGACTTCTTTTGGGGCTTGATGGAGGTTCATATTCCCCGTGCTGGGTCCGTGTTGGGATCAACCTGGGCTGCAGTTGTCCCCAAGTTGCACCATGTGAGACCCAACTTCATCCCAAATAACCCAAATTTGGCCCATCAGAATTTCATCTGAAGGTATCGCAATGCACACATATCCTGTACAACACAAATCGATTCTTTCTTGCGCCGGGCATTCTTTTCATCAATGGCAAATCATTGAAACATCTTTACCCATACTGAAACATTGGAACAAAATGGAACAAAGCTCAAGCAATCTGAAGAAAACAGCCAAGGGTCTTAGGTGCTCCTGCAATGGCGTGCCATCTGTTGCCGCACATCCGTCAGTAAAACACCGGAAGCAAGTAAACATTGCTGCCGGTACCGTGCTGAATTCTTCTCTCACATTCAGGTCATCCACATTCCCGAAGAGGGTGCGTGTGACGACTCCAAGCAAATACATGCAGCCCACCAACAGGACAACCGCCCAGAAGAGCACTCGCAGTCCAGTGAAAACGCCCTGGATCATGAGCTTGAGCCTTGGATGTTCTTCTTTTTTAAACTCTTGCTTGATCTGCTGCCAAACAACATGGAATTCATCATGGCTTCTTCAAGAATGCATGTGGAAGTTGCAAGCTTAGTTTTTTTTTGGGTGCTTAGAGTGCTTGGGGTGGGCACTAAGTTTTCAATATGTTCAATCCAGCCAAACAAAAAGCGCACCCCAATTCAGTCTTGCCGAGGCCAACCCAGCTGCTCTTGGAAAATCTTGAACTTCAGCAAACGAACAATCCTGAGGTGCAACGGTATGCAACGCTGCAGGTGAAAGGCGGCAAATTGGTCGAATCTTTCCAGTTTCTGGATCTGTGGAGCTGGACGTTGAGGTGGTCCCTTTTCAACCCTTGAACCTTGTGTCCGGCTAGGAACTTACTCATCCACTGAAGACATGCCATCAACATCCATCAACAGCATCTGACTCTCTCTCTCTCTATATATATATATGTATGTGTATACTGTATAAATATATATATGATTATATACGTGTATTTAGTATTCATTAATTAATACTATTATTGTTATTTATTGATACTATTGTTATCATTGTTATATATTCATATATATTCATTATATTTCGGAATCCAAGTCCTGGATGCAAATCAGAACCATTTTGAGAGCCTGTAATTCTTGTGTTGAAGCACCGCTTAGAGCCCAAGAGTCCACGCAATGGTGCATCCAATTTACTCCACGAATTCACTTGTGGAAACCCAAACCCCAAAAAAACACCGAGGCCAAGGCGGCCGAGATCGGCCGAGTATTGATCAAAGAATCCTTCCCAATCTTGCCAACTTCAGCATCTTTAAAGAACTTATCGCTCCGGTGTCAGCACCACCTTCCGAAGAAGCTTCAGTGATGTAGGTGATGCTAAGATCCTCGGGGAAGCTGCCAGGTGATGCCAGGTGAGCTGGGGTGTTACTTTCTTTGCCGAAAACTTTGGCCTTCACAGCGAACAGTCATTCAATGTGCGCTCGCAAATGGATTTGGTGAAACATCAGCGAATTGAAGCTTTCTACTTGTCTTTTGCTTTGGCAACACATAAAGGTATGTACAGTAGGCGTCCATTCTTCAAATAGTTTTCCAGTCCACCTGAAATGAGTGTACGGCCGAGCATCCACAAGAGCGAGGATCACGCACAAGATATCAAACCACGACCTTACAAACTGCTTAAACTGGGCTTTGTGTCACGAGTCATTGTTAATTTGTGATTTTTCCAACCGTTCTAATGCAAACAGTGAACTGGCACAGTCAGACTGTTCAACCATGCAGCTCAATCTGCAAGCCCGCACGACTTGGAAACGCAGAGCTGGGCCCACGACCAATACCAATCAGCACCCCCAATGTATTCCTGAAAAGTGCCGTTCATGCGGTGAAACCGTCCAATGAGCTTGTGGTGCAGCTGTCCACAAAATTCAACCAAGAGATACAATAAACATCTTCGCGCCGCGAGATCAAACCTTGTGAAAGATGTCAAGCACTTCTTGTGCCCAACTTTATGTGCTCTCTTTATGGTCCTATATGGTCCGCCATCCCAAGTCACTTACACACGTGTAGGGCCGAGTCGTTTTCTCCAATTCGTTTTAGAAGCAAGTTCATCATGGGCTTTCCACAGGAGATGACCCCACAAGCAAACCAGTAGACATATCATCATGTCGACTCACCGTTGAATTGACATGTATGCAATATATGCAACATATGCGTACGCACATGTTACATGTATGAATACCTACAGCTTGAAAGGCACGTGCATGGTCGTGATGTACTTGGAATGTTCAAACGATATGATATTCTTAAAAAGTTGTTCAGCCATGTTCAGCCATTGTATGTGTATGGTAAGCATATCTAGACATATCGAATCCATGCCTGTGTGTTTGTGTGTATGCGTCTACCGAACAGATTTGATGAGCACAATCTGTGCACTGCATACATACCTAAATGCTTGAACATGCAAGAAACTATCAGGACAATTTCATCGCTGCCTTGACAGGGTGAAGGCTGCACATTGACAATGTGTGGTGAAAAAACAGATTTGAAACGACGGGTCTGAGTCTTTGTCTGTGTCGCCACTTGCTGGCAGGCAGCAGAACAATACAAGGCCGCAATGCTGATTTTCGCTCAAAACACAAAAACACATCAAAAAACGGCAAACAAAGGGACGGGTGAGGTCCCGCACTCATATTATTTTGCAGTGTTGTTCTTTTCGTTTCCTTTTCTCGGCCTTGGTCGCCTTCTTGCTGGTGGCGAGTGCTAGGGCTGCTAGGGTGATGACGAGGCAAAAAGTGACAGCTAACATTGCTGTTTTTTGTTGGATTTCATTGTTGCACATCTACCGGCATGAGTGTTAGGCTATTAGGAGCTAACAACGGCAAACAACAAACTGCAAAGTGACAATCCGCGATTATGTCAAGAAATGAGAGTTTGGCTTCAAACTCATCACTGCCTGTCCTGCATTCCAAACACCTTCATCTTTACAAAACATTCTCCGATGAAAAAGGTTGTGAAGGCAATCTCGAGGATTCTCCACACCTCAGCAACCGAAACAAGTAACCATCTTAGGGATTGAAGAGGCTCAATATTCATTTTCCAGGAAAGGACTGCAACAATGTGCTCAACAGTTAATTGTCTCAACACAGCACCGTCTAATCGCAATCATTATTCTACAAACTATGTAGTGTTCCATACCACTCATGCTCCTTGACTGGCATCAGTACCGGATAGTACTGGCATCAGTACCGTACAGTTTGCTGCAGAGAGTCCTCATGATTCGGCGCAATGTCTGCAGACAAACCAGCCACGGCAGCCTGCACAGCCGCTCCAAAGTTTTCTGCGCTCGTGTGAGTTGCATATTTGATCATACTTGGGTATTCTGATGCTGGCAACCCTGGCAACCTGCACTCTTCCACTTCCCACAATTCCTCAAAGTGTGAAGGACAAGATGCACTCATCATGATAACAGCAGCAGGAATGACGTCCAACATCCTGGGCAAAAACACAACTAAGAGGAGCCTTGAGATATCTTCGGGGAATCTGCATATTATTGCTTATGTCAAAGGTCGGATTTCATAGAACAACATAGAACAACATAGAACAACATAGAACAACATAGAACAACATAGAAAGACCAAAGAACTTTGCTTTCCTTGGTTCAAACAATTTCTGATCGAGTGGTCAAGCATTGGACTTGCAGCGAGCATCAATAGGAAGGTCGACGCATCTTCTGCCTCCTCCGACTTTGGCACAGTAGCCTTGGCTTAATGATTAATGATCCTCATTGATTAGGTTTCACTGATCCAAACAACATTGACAGTGCAAGATAGCACAAGCAGGACATGTTTGCGGAGAAATCCGATGATGTCACCTTCACACAAAATCTTCATTTTCCGCCTATTGACCAATCCTTCGATGTTCAGGTAGACAGCTGTGGTCCGGAACGCTCTTTTGGAAATGTTCTACTTCTCAACATAGCCATTGCTTGAGGCTTGAGTAGTGCCAGTCTGGATTCAAATTTGCTAGCCTCACGGTTTACTTACACCACTCCTGAGTACTGAATCTGTACATGCCGCTGATCCCCTGGCAAGTACAAACATCTGAGCACTTGAGTAGACTGAGTAGAACTTGTTCAAATCAACCTTGAATGCAACTTGAGACTGAAGTAGCAGCTTGTTATACGTATAACAAATATGATATACGTAATTATACGCATTACATCGTATTACCTTTTTGCCAAGCAACGACCACTGTAGAGCGTTGATGTCTCATTCTTGATACTCTGGATGCTCTTGGAACTTTGTCATTCTCGTTATCATCGCCCTCGCCTGGTGCCCGATCAAGTGATGGACTGGATCGGTTCATATTGTTTGGAGATCCCTGTACGAGTTCACCGGGTCAGGTTGGGGCCTGTGATTTTCTAGTAGAAAATGCAGGTTGTATAAATTAGGGACTCAAGAAAATCTAGCAACAGACATCAAACCAATTTGAGGTATCCTAGAAAAATGGCAACATACAAGAAGTGCATTTTCGAAGCTATGTTTAGCATTTTTCCTTCGAAAAACATCGCCGTACTTGAATTGCATAGTTTTGCAATTACGTTATCAAACATGTCAAGTTACTGCTACCCTTTTTCTAGGGCCCAACATGCAACCCAGCGTGCGGTTTCGAATTTTTCGATCGAACTTTTCGAAAATGCATATCTTCCCTAAATAGTCGCCCAGGACAGCCCACAAAAAACCATTTCAACAAACGCAAGGTTGTAAAATTATGTTGCTTGTTTGTTGGTGGCTGTTGGTTGACCCTTCAAAAAATATACAAAAAATGCAACATTTCATAGGCTTTGAAAACGGAAAATGTTGTTCATTACGTGTTGCTGGAAATCATTGTTACTTAAAAAAAACATGCAAAATGGCTGCAAACAGGCTTAAACCACCGGAATATTTAATTCTTGTCAAAATAATCGTTTGCACAAGAAACTTGGCGACTTAGGCAAAAAAGAGAATTAAAAAGAAAAGGTGGAGGTTCCAGGATGGTTAGATATCCACCTTTATATAATTCACCTGATCCCCCCGACATCGAATTTCTAGATCGAAAACGGGTGGTCACAACCCCTCACCCCAAGATGCATCTATATAGAATATTGAAGTGATTAGGTCAAGATCAAAATGACATCTAGGAAACCAAATTGGAAAATTTTTTCATGATGTTTCATGTACCCTTCAAGAAAGGCGATTTTTTAGGAAACCTAATGTGCTGGGGCATAGGCGCATATGTTTCTGTACTTTAAATATACATTTTTTCCCATGAGAAAATCAAACCACTCAGGTTCCACTTTTATGGATTTTTGTACAACCCTAAAACCACATATATATACCTACCCCATGTGCTTCAATATTCTAGGCATCCAAGAGGCTTATATCTCACATAAATCACTTTGATTCTCTAAAGATTCAAACAATCCAAAAAAAACACAGACAAAAGAAACATATACTCTTTCTAACTTCAGCCGCACTCAAAATCATTTACAAAGAACACAATGAGAATAAACACACCAGGGATTCGATTTTCTAAGGACTCCCACATGTGGAACCCCCAGGAGTTCCATTTTCTAAAGGTCGTCTGGGTGGAGAGCGCCTAACATGTGAAGAAAAAACCACCTCATACCGGGTTCTGTGTCGAAACAAATGCCTGTTTCGTGACCTCCCCCGCCCACTGATTTCATAGAGGAAATTCCACGGGGGATGGTTAGATTGAGGTTGTGAAGCTATGGCAAAATCCAAGGTAAGGCTAACATATGCCAAAATCGTCCGCTCCAGCTCGGGGGCTTCAGCCCATTCAAATGCTCGAAACGGGATTGTGAAAGGATGCGACGAACAAAATAGAATCACCTGCCTCTCTAGAAAATCAAGGACCACTAGAAAATCTATGAACGTACTCCGAGAGATGCTAAAATCATGCTTCAGGATTTTGGGCACCTAAACTCTCCAGAAAATCAGCATCTTACGACTCAGAGGTCTCCAAAAGTTGTTCTTTAGAAAATTGGAGGAACTTCCAAAGCATCATTTCAGCAAATTCGAGCTTTTCAAAGGACAGAAAATAACTCCTTAGGGGGGTTAACCCCCCTGAAATCCTAGAGGAAACTCATACCGGTATGTTTGGAGTGCAAGAGCACAAGCGTCATGGCAGTCTCGCCTCTGTCAACCCGAAGGGACAACTCAAACGTATACAACGGTATACAGTGACAGATGAATGTCAACATCTGCCTTTTACCGATCACCAATTCCATCATATTCCACTACCTGGCACCCTTCCTGACAGGAACTGATCATTTCGAAGATCAAACAAAATAAACAAACAAAGTGGCAGTATCAACCTGACATCACCATGGGACCATGAGTTTGACTCGACCACCTCAAGTGAACAGCAAAAACTTTGGTGACAAACCGGTGCTCACAAAATCTTTGTCGGACAGACTAAACCCGCCGTCCCCAGCCGACGGCAGGGGGAGTGCGAGAGAAAGTGTTGCTCCTTTTTTAACCGTGGACATTGTCAGCTCCACGATGTCCTGCAGCCTGACGCCCGTTGAAACTGCCAGCTCTATGCTGCTTTGCTGTGGCGAGCCAGCGGTTTTTGACGCTTGCGGCGTGGCTTCAGAGCTTGTTTTCGGAGGCTTCAGAAGGCCGGTGTTGGCATCCTGCAGCCCGAGGCGGTTTTGACACCGGTGGCGTGGGAGAGCTAATTTTCTAGAGGCTTCAGAAGGTAGCATCCTGTATTGGCACATTTTTGGCTACTTGCGCACGGGGGGCTTGAGGGAATCTCCGATTCATCAATGCCACAAGCCGGGGGCAAGCGCCAAAGGGCGGGCCACTGCTGCCGCGCTCTTTTCACGGCGAGCCGCTTGTTTTGACGCTGGCGGCGTGGCTTCAGAGCTATACTTTTCTAGAGGCTTTAGGAGGCAACGTCCGGCATTGGCATCCTGCAGCCCGACGCCCGTTGAAACTGCCAGCTCCATGCTGTTTTGCTGTGGTCAGCGTGGCCCACGCCATGGCAAAGAGGTCCAGCTCTGATGTCGCATTTTTTTGAATGGCAGATTGATCACAGGGAACAAGTGGAATGAGCATCGCACTGAACCATGGCTGTGTTGTTTTTGCTGTGGCTTGTGATCCAAGGTCCAGCGGACACGGGAGGTGTGGGTCTATGTTCATGGTTGCTTCCAAATGACCCACTGCTATGGTTCATCGGTCTATCAAGAATCCTCCCACCATCTTCCCCATTAGAATCATTAGAATTTCGTTACATCGGAGGCCCAGGGGTCGGCAGCAGGGGGCGGCAGCCCTTTACTAATGTATATACATGACAAACAAAAAACATCAACATGCAGCAAGAGTCTCGTGTGAACACGATTGAACATGGCGGCAAGAGGGTAAGAAGAGAGCAAAGGGGCAAATGCGTTTAGTTTAGCGCAACAAGTGTCAGAACAGCGTGAAACATGTTCTGCTTTGGAAAAATGTTGAGGGGAGAAAGCATATTTTGAGACCCCTGCACGTGGAAAGGCACTACACCATGAATCCAGAAGCACTTCAGTTATTGTTTCTTCCACTACTCCATTTGACCGTACTTGCATGCTTTTGGTATGGCATTGCCATGCACATAAGAGAGGTGTCAGTTTGCCAACAAAGCTTTGCTATGAGATTCCTGTTCCCCTTGCCTGGATACTCGTCTGGCATGCATGGCAACTCCAGCAAGTCCAACTTTGGGCTCGGTTCAGCGAAAGCGGTCAAAGGCTGTTTTGGCGGTGGACTGTCCTCGCAAAGCTCAGCACAATCATGTTCTACGGTGCAACACAAGGCCCTGAAGAAAATTAAAGAACATGAATCAGCCACGATTCTGAGTTTTGAAGCCTCTGTGCTCATGTCCTGCTACAATGTTCACGAATGAATGCTTCATGCTTTCTGATCTTTCTGAAAATGGGTCTTGCTATCTTCGTCTTTTGTCGTTGCACTGCCGGGCCAATCAGATCCAATCAGATCCAATCAGTCCTCATGCCGCAAATTGAACAATGGCGAATTGCCTCTCCTCAACTCTTCATTTTCTGCAGTCAATCCTTGGCATATTGGGGCCATTGGGGCCATTGGGGCCATTGGGGCCATTGGGGCCATTGGGGCCATTGAGGCCATTGGATTCAATGGACCAACCAAGATACAAATCAGGAGCTTAGATTGTGCAGTTTCACGCTGGTCAATTTTGCATCGTTCTTTTAAACAACAGTTGTAGTTGTAGTTGTAGTTACAGTTATAGTTATAGTTATATGTATGTTATAGTGTTATAGTTATTGTTTTAGTTCGTATAGTTTTTGTAGACTTCGCTGTTCCCCTATTGCGGTTGTTGCCCAAACACAAAAGAAAATGCCGGTACCAAACAATGACAACACAACAACTTCAGCCATGAAGCGGTCATATTCAGCACTGAGGGCGATCAAATGTCGATGAAAAGCTGAGTCTCCAAAAGTCATGGCGTTCGACGTGGACCCGTACCGTTAGGTGCTGCAGAACCCTTGTGAGCTTTTGTCAAATAGTGCGACAAATAGTGTTGTATCATGTATTATCATGTATTCTTGAGTGTTGCATACACAATCATGCACATCTTCGTCATTTGTATCCAACCTCACGTGCGTGCTTGCAGGAATGCGTGTTATGGCATGTTATGGCTGTCATCCTTCTAGTCTTCCGCTGAAGTCACTGGGGTGAGCAGTGAGTTTGTCGTGTATTCACCACCATAGCTGCGGGGCCTTTGGAAAGCCGCGGAGAGTAGCCAATGGCATGAATGGGTCCCCGATTCATGTTGCTTCTGTAGAGGCTGTACGTGTTGAGGAACCTGTGTCTTGCACTGGTGGGCAGCACTTCACTGCAAATTCTTTGAGTGCCAACAGAGACATCTGCTGTTAAGGACATGGGCTCCCAAATATTCAATTTTTAGTTTACGCCACAATACATGACAATGCTTTTACTTTTACATAAAATCGTCTAAATCATTCTGAAATTCAAGATGTTCAAGCCATGACAACATATTGGCCCCAACGATCAATTGCTGCCAGGCGCAAAAGCATCCCAGTCAAAAGCTAGATAACGACTAGAACCGCCAGTGTGATCAGTGATCGGTGTGGAATAGACTGTCCTTTGAAGCCAAAATATTTCAAAAGGGAACAGGACACATCAATTTTGTTATGGTCAAATACCCGCTCCGACTACTTCACAAACCGTATATTTTGAATGAATTTGATGGGGTTCGTAAGGCGCCATGAAGGGACCAGGCCCTTTGGTACCAGTCTATTTGATTCATTTTGATTCTGTGTTACAATTTTCCGAACCATCAATGGCTTTTGATACCTACGGAAAGTGACTGAACGCCACCTGAAAATGCCAATAGGATCGCAGTCACAGGATAGCCACTTGCATGATCGATATAGATTACAGTCGATGTGTCAACCTCACCACTCCCAATCGCAATCACCAAAATCTCAACAAGACAACAAAAAAAACAACGAAGCCCCTTTTGAACATGTTTGAACGCCTGGCAGCTAGTGACGCTAGTGTTCTTTCCACTTGCCAAGTCCAGGCTCGTGCTCCTCGCCAAGTGTTCTTATCAAACGTGCCCGACGGATCTCGACGGTCGTGTCTCTCCATCAACCTCTGATATCCTCTGATCACTTGACCGACTTGACCTCTTTGATTCGGAACGAGGCTATGCTTGGCTGCTTGGCGTTCTCCGGGAACCTTATGTCGAGGTAGTGAAGCGCAAAGCTGCAGCATCACATCCGTCACATCCTTATTCAATCTGTTGGCTCTTTGAAAAGAACTGCCTTTAACACCCCAGCCGGCTTTGTGATATGATGTCTTATTATTGAGTTGTAGTTCGCAGTGTCAGGTTTGGCCTCATATTCGATTCAAGAAACGGAGACGTACAGGTCGAACTTTCAGATATGCCATCATGATGCCCCTGCAACTGCAAATCCATGAAGTTGGCTGCTTCACGTCTGGCTTTGCCGGATCGTCACGTCCTAACAGCTGATTGCTGTGACATGCTGTGACTAATTGCCGTGAGTTTTCTGCATCGGCCATGGTCCTTGAGACCCTTCAATTCAGGTACGAATGCGGGTAGCCATCATCTTCTGGAAAGCAACCTGAGGTATCCACAGAGATAATATGCCAGCACGAATGAGATCCTCTGAGTGGAATCGGTGAGTACGCCAAGCTCCAAAGATTTCAGGGCCTACTCGAGGTCTCTTAAACGAAGCACCAGCAATGAAATTACAATGGCAACCATCTGAAAATCATCATGGCATCATGAACTTTACGCTAAACATCATTCAACTGTCATTTGAAGAAAGCTGAGTAACAAGGCTGTGCTTCACCGTGGGCTGCTCTTCTTTGACATTCAGGGCAATTAGCTTCAAACTTGGGCAACTCTGCAACTTCGTCAAAGTTGGTGAAATAACGACAGCTTGGTTTGTGCCACCTCAGTAAAGCAATGACCAAATTCCACACCTGAAGCACTCAACATGTTTTTCGACCACAAGGCTCCAGTGACGACCGCCTGCCAACCAAACTTCTTAAGAATACAACAAACATCAACAAACCGCACTATGTCCAAACGAGCCAGACATTTTAGTCCAATTCTGCCCCAGTGCAGTGGAGCTTCGACACCGCAAACTAGCGCAAACTACTGCAATTGAATGCTATGAAGATCTACGAAGATCTATGAAGATCTATGAAGATCTATGAAGGAGCATTGAATAAGATAAGAAACTTTGCCAATTGTATTACGTTTAGTTTCTCCATCTTTCGCCGTGACAGCTGCCCACAAGCCTCTGCGCCCTGATCTGTCACAGTTAAGGCGCCGGTTGTCATGCGCTAAAGGGATGCGGCGGTCGATGCCACAGTCCCAGCAGAACTCATGACCGCATTCGCAAGTGACATGATCGCACTCCTTGAAGGAGAAGGAGGAAGAAGGAAGCGGAGCCACTTGCGGCCACTTGCATGTCTCAAGAAGTAGGCAGTCCCCGAATTGATGAGTGATGATGAGTGTTGTTTCTACCAGTTCAAAATGGACGAGAAGGCTGTTAGATGTTTATCACAACTATAATATGACAACTGTAAATGGTTTCCCCACAAATGTTGCCATCCTGTATCCCTCGTCCTCTTGTGATTTGTAGCCGCCACCAAAACGACACTTTCGCGGACAGGGTTTCCAGCCTAGCTGGGCAAATCTGACAGCCACAAATGACAGTCTTCCTTGACTCTCTGCTTGAAAGGTAGGCGTTCTGGAAAATTAATGTCTATGTCTGTACGATTCTGTACGTTACTATACGACTGGTCTTGACCTCTGAAATTTGAAGACACATGAAGACACCAAGACCAAGACAGAAATATACAGAAATAATCAACAAAAGATCAACGCATTTCGAAGCGCCCATGGCTTGGTCACAATTCATCGAGTTCGCAGTTCACCTTCTACACCTTGCTGCTGGCGTTGCAACTGTTGCATCCACTTTATCCACTTTTGTGCTTAGCAGCCCATCAACAGCACCTGGGACCACACCTCCGATTTTTCCTGCGCATGCTTGCCAAAACTCTCACAGCAACTTGTGTGCCAAAGCATTCCGCATTTCAATTGTCAAAGACATGAGTGAGTCTGACAGGTTCTGTAGAGAGATGCAAATGAAAGGCAACAACATGCTGCACCACGCTTGACTGTCCGCTTACATGAACATCATTTAACATCATGAACGAATTTCTATAGTCCGTAGATGCAGCATAGATGCAGGCTGCAAGATAGATCAAGATAGTGGAGAGCAGCTCTCCGGAAGGCTGACCTGAAGCATCATCCTGCTCGGTCCTGCTCCATTTGGCTGCGTCTGGCTGAGCAAGAAAGAAGTGGATGAGGTCCACAGTCGCATTTGGCGCAAAAACGATGTCCCTTAGGACAGGCTAAGTCTGCAAAGTCATCTCCTTCGTCGCAGAAGACACGCTCCTTGCAGGCAAAGCAAGACTACAGCTGGACCTAGGATAAGCGAGGAAACAAATTGAGACAAGAAAAAGCCGCCACATGGACATGTTGGGCCTGTCCTCGCAACCAAGGGCTCGGCAGTCTACAATGCGGGGGTCATCGCAAGTCAGAAACTCCAACAATTTAAAGTAGGAGTCTTCTGGCAGGCATTGCCTCAGCTCCCAGAAATTAAAAACACAAGAAGTGCTGCCACTGCTTGACATCACAAAGAATCGCAGTTTTCGATGAACATCTTTCAGGCTGACTGCAACAGTGGGGGTGATGTTTGAACGCCTTCTTTGCAGCAACAACGCTCATGAAGTCCAAGAGTGTGCTACCAGTACAGCATCAATACTTGTCACTGGGCAAGACCGAAAGACTCATTGCAAGTCATATGGGGTTAACAGTGCCGCACGCCGCATGCCTAGATACTGAAAGATGTGAATCGAATCTTCAGATCTCAGATTGTAGCCACAGCCCTCTGCCGGGCAAGTAAGCTTGCCTGAGTTCATCATAATTCCAACATATTCCAACTACAGTAACTGTAACTACACTTTGAAATTGCTGAGCTCCATATAGGTGAGCCGGGACATCACTGATCAGTCTGCTAAATCAGGATGGAGGTCTGCACTCTTGTGCCCCCCGGACTGACTTGTAAAATTGAGTAGACGTGGACAAAGTGCAATCTTTAAGAGAAACAGGAATAATTATAGAGGAAATACTTGGAATGATTCCTCTCCTAATTGCTTTCCGTTGATTTCCGTTGCGTGCTTGAATCTTCAGCTAGGCATGATCATGTGCAAGGCAAGTTCCACTCCAAGCGCGCAACCTTTCAATAACAGAAAATGCAGACACGATGCTCAAACGCCTCTCCCGCACAATGAGATCGAAGTGGTACCTTCTCTTTCAATTCTGTGAGGAAACAAAACGCATGAATCGAATATGTTCAATCCAGGGCTGTCTGGTCTTTTTGCATTCTCGAATCGAACAAGGGCTCAAACGACAGGGTGTGATAACTTGTGATAATGAATGATAATGAAGCCAAAACACGGAATCTACAAAGCTATGCCCTCATAATCCTCATACACTGTCTGTATGATGTCACTCTTTGTGGGGCAAGGATTGCAGATGATTGCAGCTAACACGGGAATGGCTGCAACTTGGGTACTGGAGACTTTCAAAGCAAAAGCGATGTTGACATGGCAATGTGCAGCATCCTTCCACCTCATGGTCCACAAGGCAGATTGCACACCTGCCGTTGACATCCGTTGACTTTGCAAAAGAAAGCTGGCCATTTCAATGGCCAGAATACACGATCCAAAACTTAGCTCTGTCGTAAGTCAACCTCTCAGTGTTATGATGAAAGAGTTCAACCCATCAGATTTCAGTCATGTTCAGTCGACGTCTTGCCGCTTGCTTTACACATATCAACACCCTTGAAGCATCATTTCTGCAGTGCTTGAAGTCTTTGCAGTCTTTGCAGTCTACATCAGTCTACCAGTTGGACACTACAGTAGCAACAATAGCGACGTGTGCCTGGCGACCAACGTCCGAGTCCTCATGAGTCCTCCCTGCATCTCCCTGCCTGAAGGTAGGCCGATACTCTTCGCTTTGCCGTTTCAACTCCTTGTGACAGATGGAACACAGTGGAACACAGTGGAACACAGTGGAACAGCAGGATTTCCACATCGTCCAAGGGCGACTGCAATGAAGGGATGAAGAGCATGCCGCAGGAAGGAATCAGAAGGAATCCCATATCGCAACGCCTATTGCAACTCTGTCCTCTATGAGGCGTTGATTCCGTTCATCCAATTCTTGGACAGTTCTTTCTGCGAGTTGCAGGTCCTCACCAGCAAATTCCGACTAACCTTTTTCATCCTTTTTCACTTGTGAGTTGGTGCCAGACCACCTCCATGTTCTCAAGTCATCTCAAGTATTGATACATCAGCTGTTAGTTTCAGACCGTGAGCCTACGGCAGTCCACACTAAGACACACTGCAACAAGTGCAGCTTCATGCAGCTGTCGAAGCCTAGACACCTGCGGGGTGATGACATCTCTCAAATCGCCCTCCAGAAGCATAGATGCACATCCTCCAATTCCCATCAGTCCCATCACACAAAACTACCCGGCGCATCGGCTGGAGCGGGAGTCAAGAGAAACAAACGATCAAAATCAAGCCGTTCAACCCTCACAACATCTCACAACATGAACTGCATCACGTGAGTTGCAACCACATCTATCGCTCAAATTGGGGACTCTAAGGTAATGAACTCCCAAGATCTCTAAAGTCAAAAGCTTAAGAATGCCATAGGCATCAGCCGATATCAGCCATGTCTAAAACCTTGGAACAAAACTTCCCAAGCACAAAACCTGTTAGGTTCTCCTGCCAATTCTGCTGGGCAGCGGATGTCAGTCAATCGGCAAAGGGTGGAAACCTTCTGGAACCAGAAGTCTTTGAGACAGTGCCTTCAGTATAGTTGCGCTGAATACGCGGAAAGAAGTGCATTCATATCAGACCAATCAAAGCCAGAATGATTCTCAGCTAAATTCTTTGCCGCAAAGTCACATGTGAAAAAAATGCACGGTTTTCATACATTTTCATAAAATGTTTAGTTCATGTTAGTTCCAGGTTGTAGCCTAGGGACACGTGAGCCTTGAATCCACAGTGCAGCGTCTTGAGAACTCCGTCCTCGCCGAAGCAAATGACGCAAGGCACGAGAGCGCCCAGGTTGCCGCTTTGCAAAATGCGAGAACCAGGCAGTGCAGGGAGCTGCCCAGGCAACCCAGGCGGCCTCCAAAGCAAGACTTCGATAAATTCGACGGTTCCTTCCCAAATCGTCCAAATCTAGTTTAAGATGCTTAAGGTGCACGTGGTGTAAATCACCGAATATAAGTCTTCACTCAAATCAACTCAAATAATGCAAAGCGGTTTTTGCATACTTATCATACTAGTATACTGCGTGTCTTCACTTCCGTGTCATTCAAAACCCCCGCTAGCAGCAGCTTCCATCTTCACAATCATACTAAACGTACTAAACATAGGACATCATAGGACATCATAGGACATCATAGGACAACATAGGACAACATAGGACAACTTGCAAATTGAATCCACCTGTAGCCCTTTCTTTACACACCTCTTTGGCGGCGATGAAGTCGGGGACTTGGGAGGCAGCAAGGCCTTGATGCCCGCATCGCCCAAGTGCGACATGAGGAAATCATGGCCGAAGATGCGCCTGGCAGGTTTGGGCCTTAATTTTTCGGAACTGGGCCCTAATAATTCTAATGTGCATTACATGTGCATTACATGTGCATTACATGTGCATTGCATCTGCATAGACTAGAAATGACATACAACTTAGTTGGCCAGCATACAAGACACAAACATGTACATACGTAAGGTACGAGTATCTCGTTCCAACAATCATGTTTATGATGCTGATCCGATTGTTCCCGGCTCGGTCTTCAAACACTCACCCTGGCACAGCTCCATCTGGGAAACGGCATGTCATTGGACAGCTACTGTCTCTACATGTCTCTACTGTCTTGTCTCATTATGTCTCATTCACCCTTCATGTGAACTGCAGATCTGTCCAATGGCACCTGTGCAACTTGCATGCCAGCTGACTCCAAGAGGTACTACTACGGGCGTAGTTCTCCAAGCAGCTTCGATGATATGAACATCCACCTGGTCTTGGCAGGAGGTTCACCAGAGCCTTTCGTAAGGCCAGTTACTGACAACAGTTCTTATGCAGACTAGGCGCTCAGATGCGCTAAGCATTGTTGAAGGTCATCAAGAAACTGATGGTCACAAAAGTCCAAAAGATTCTAAAAGATTCTAAAAGATTCTAAAAGATTCTAAAAGCAAGACACACTTCGCGGTGATCTCTGCGTCATGCTTGATGCAAATGCAGCAGTCTGGTCTGCGCTCTGGTCTTCGCACGGCATGCTTTGGCCGGGGTCCCGAGACCTGCGGACAATTTGACTACGCATCCCCAACTGCCCCGTATGCTCTGTTTGGAGCTACCACTCCCGCATCAGCTTCTTTTCTAAGGGATACGTGATGATATATGCCTCCTTCGCATATGAGAAGCTTTCGAACCTTTTTCCAAAGTCCCACTTACAACTCCAGCACTGTAACTTTGAACATGATTTAGTGTAGAATGCTGAGGACCACATGAGACGCAGAATGTCCAGATACAAGTACTTGTTCGTTTTCTGGTGAGCGGACTGACTAAGCCAACTGTGAGACTCAATCATCAAGTATCAAGCATCTTTAAGCCTTCAGCATTCAGTTCGGATCAGGATGGTATCGAAAGATTCCAAAGCATCTTGTCCAAATTGAACTCTTCATGAGTCACTGAGTCACACTAACCAAAGGCGCCTCCTGGCGCTGTACATTTTGCAGAAAGTCATCCAATGATGGCAGCAAAGCTCGCATGGCAGATATCTCAGCTTGTGGAGAGACCTGGCCCCGGAGACCATGTCATCCTATGTCTGCTGGCTTTGGAACGGTTTGGAACTTGCCAGGCCTGCAACATTTTGTGAAGTGGCTCCAAAACCTAGGCACAGCCCCGCAAGATTTGGTACAGAGTTTGCCTTTGTCACTAAACTCGCTAAACCTCTGGTGTTGGTGGATACGAACTGCACAAAAGGCATAAGCCATGGAAAGTCCGTTAGCAACTCAAGCAGTCATTAATTCATAAATGTGTAAACATTGATAAACGATTGAAGGCTTGAAGACGGCAGAATGACAAGAGTTCAAGCTCAGCAACACTGATCAACTGTCCATGAAAAAGATCCAGGTCCTTTTCAAACTCTTTGCGGTCGCTCCGACTAACCAGCTCGTGGACCAGTCTCTCTTCCAGGCATCTGGCACCACGGAGAAGGGATGTCGTTCTCAAAAATATTGCATCCAAAGATTTCCGAAGTAGGAATTTTCAACTTCTGATTAACTTCTGATGGCTTTTGGTGGAACGAAATATTTATTTGCTCTGCTTGCTGTAGCTTCCATGTCTGACAAAATCTGTGCAGTCCTTCGATGCTCCAGCCTTATGACTGCCCTGAAGCTTGCACAAAGCTCCCCAAACTCCTGCATCGTCGGACACTTGGAGCTGTGCTGAGCTGGTCACAGAAGTCAAACAACTGAACCTCTGTCCGACTATGTCCAGTTCCTTTGATGCAGTCTGAGCCACAGTCAGCTACAAAGATCTACAAAGGAGAGCACAACCGTACAATGCCGTACATAGATTCACCACGATTCACCCCTTCGCTCAAAAAATATTTTCGAAAATCCGTTGACGTGTCTGGAAGTGCAGCTGCAGCATCTGTTCTAGCAGTGGAACATATGCAACAATGATGCAACAATGCAACATAATGTAGACAATTGAGCAGCCAAAATCCACATCCATCACCAAAAGGATGATCTGAGATGAACGACCTTGACGAATGACATGGAATGCTGTGTGAACCGAACAAACCCTATGTAAATCTATGTAAATCTATGTAATATATTGTAATATATTGTAATATAGTTGTTGTATGTTGTTGTTCCCTTATTGCAATGTCCATTTCCTTTGACCACTGAGTTCCACCCTTTCGCACCTGAGTTTTGCTGTCCTCAGGCCTCAAGCTGCGGTCCCTGGGATCTCCATTTCATGTTCCGTGATGTTCCGTGGATAAGGGTAGCATCTTTTCCTTCCAACCTTCGCAACTTTACCCTTTGGGAAAGACTGACTGGATCATCTTCTGCCGTAAATGTTCATTTATTATCAACGCAATATCAACGCTGTTTCTCATGACAAGACACACACACACACAGCAAATGATGTATGATACACCGTATCACACAGTTATAGTTATCAAGTTATCGACTCTTTACCCAACCCGGTCAGCCTTAATAATCGCAACGACTTGTCCCTTGGCACTAGGATATCGTAGTGACCCGGTTTCAGCAGCAGGAAAATCTCCTCGGAGCAAGGCAATGCCCTTGAATCCATTGATAAATGGACACCAAGATGCACCAACTGCATTCACAACCTTCCTGCTTCCAGTGGGAGGGAAGATTCATTTGATTCTTCGCAACATTTTTCAGTCCGATTTCTTACAAAGATGGCATGGCACTGATTTGCCAAACAGAACAATCAACAGTTTTGCAGTTTGCAAGGCAATTCGAGATATTTTAGGCATTTGATGAGTGATGGGCATAGGACCATGGAGGACCATGGAGGACCAACACGACTCGACATTCGACGCCCAGGTGCTGGCATCGAGGAGGGTGCAGCAGCTGCCAGCTGGGCAGCTGTAGGAACACAGCGAGCATCGGATGATCGACTGGGGACATGCTGCTCCTCCCGGAATGCAGTTCAGGGAAAATAGGGAAGCAATGGGAAACAAATCTCATAGATTCTCATAGGAACTATCTGGAACATTCTGGAACTATTTGGAAGTAGAAACTACTGTGTTGGAATTTGAAGGATTGTGATAGACCATCCTGGAACATCCTATATACAATGCCGTTCAAAGCTCTGATTCTATGAATTGACTCCAACTGTCAATGACTGGAACATCAACAGACTTCAAGCTGGCTTGAATCGTCAGGCCCCCAACATCACTAGCTATCGCAAAGTGCCACGTCAATGCCTCCAATTCATTCATATTTTTGTTGCCTGTCCCAAGAGTAAATGAGTGATATTGATTGATGGTGAAAAATGGTGAAACATGGTGAAAAATGGCGAAAATATGTGAAGTGGATGAAGTGGACAGTGAAGGTACAGTTCTTGTGCACTGTGGATGTTGCCGATGAGTCCATGTTGCACTTGGACGCACTTGTTTTGCACACAGCACTCCTGGCCATAGTCGACAAAGGTACAGCGGGCTGTCTCACGGTCGACCATGCATATACGTACCACTGTCTGCAAGACTCGTGGGCACACCCATTGCACATGATCCGCTGCATCCTCACAAGGTCAAGTTTGCATTGTTCTGGTGACTTGCTCACTTAACACAGTTTAGAGCTCATCTGGAAGAATAGCTCTCAGGAAATTGGCATAGACCCTGACAAGAACGCCTTCGACAAGTGAACATGCAGAACTGGGAGGCTTGTGAAAATTGAATCTTCAACGCTCTAGGACGCTCTAGAACAACGTTGCTATGACCTGAACAACTCAGCAGTTCAACGCTGTGTTTTTGATGTGTCCTTCTGCATGGAAGAAATGTGCTGCTGGCAGTACTCTTCGATGTTCACAGCTCCAGAAATCGCCAAGGCCCAGCTCTCTAAGGTCAACGCATTGGATACCGCACCGGCACCTGCGGCACCTGCGGCACCTGCGGCACCTGCGGCACCTGCGGCACCTGTGACAGGGCCGACTATCGGGTCTTTTGCATGGAGACGGACGTAGTTGGCCACCAATTGGCGAAGGCCTTGCGGCCACAAGTTGGCCAAGAAATGCCAAGATGCCGAGAAATGCCGAGAAGCATTCCGAAGTGTCTCAAATTTGTAGCAGAGAACTGTCAACTCTCAAAACCGGAGGAAACTTTTTCTAACAGAGTGAGCCAGCCAAGAAGCAATAAACAAACGCGTAATCCACGTCTCTGCGGTTGAATTCAGCTGCCAAGCGTTGCAAAATAGCCCTGACCGAAGTATCATCTGCGCACTTTTGCCGCTGCATTTGCCAGCATTTCAACCGACTTCGGCACAACTGAGCCTCTTGGAAGGCAAATGTGCAAAAGGCTGTCTGCGCAAAGAAATTTGGCTGATTATGGCTGATTAATGTATGCCATATCTGAGTCTTAGCATGTCTTAGCTACTGTCCATGATTCGAGTCATTCGAGAGTTTGCTTCTGAAGGGGAACGGTTACAAGGTACAACTGCCGGGACCAGGCGGTGCAACCAGTTGGTCCAGTCTGTCCTCCTTGCCACTGTGTAATTTGTTTGCCAAAGTTTGTAGCGGCTGCTGCAGTCCCAGAGCCAAGCAATGCTCGAGCCAAGCAAAAAGCACAGCTCTATAGTAGCAGTTGCCTTAGGCATGAGAGCTTGCACGGACTTGATGATGACGATGATGATCATTATCATTATATATTACTATATTATTGTGATGATGCTCTTTGGGAGCTCCTTAGCAACAGCATTGCAGCCGCGAAACCATCACCTCGAACGGGGCGCCAAGCTTGGAAGCTGGCCGCCAAACTGGCGAACTGCTGCTGCAGGTTTGCGTTGTGAGGGAACTGCTCCTGGCTTTTGTCAAATGTGTGAAACAAATCAAAACACCTAACAACTCATGGTGGTCTGCGAATTCTCATCTGGCACCATTGATTTTTTGCCTCTTCTTTATTTAGCCAGTATCTTCTATCAGCACCAACACGCACCAACAGTGCTCTTCTCATGTGGGTGCACTGCAACGCGTACAAACATATTCTATTTCTGTTGTACGTAATCAGACGTAATCATTTCTTCAGTAGCAGTTTAGCAATCTCGTCTCACAACGCCTGCAAGCTCTCAATGGGAAGCAGCTGCAGAACGTTCGCCTTCGCAACATCCCATCTCCCGGAATTGCGCACATCATCTTCTCATGTTTTCTCTTGACATTTGCATCATGTATGACATTGTATGACTGTATTATCGCCATGTCATGAACTTGGAATCCACATCTAAATTCCCCACCTGTGGTGTCTCAAACTCATCAGGGATCTCCTCTGGCAATTCCTCGGGAATTTCTTGTCCAACACGAACCTGCACGCCAGTGACCTGTGCCAGGGATGGTGTGCAGTTGGCAAACGCTCTGCACATGTCTGCATTTGTACTCAAAGACATCAGCCTGTCGCTGCGGTGAATCACATTCAAATCTGTCTGAATCAACGACCCTCTTCTGGCTTTGCACCAGCTGTGGGAAGAGTTCGAGCTAAGCCACTTTTACAGTTTGTATAATCAATCTCATAGCATGTTAGAGTCCAACAGGCAGCAAACTTCCCACGACCAACAGTAACCAGCGGCGCTAGGTAAAGAAGAAGATCACGAACAGCTCCGCATCTTTCAGAACATTTCAGAACAATGCTTAGTCGGCTTAGTCTGTCCGTCTGTCCATGTCTCCCATGTCTCTCACATTCTCCCACCTGGATTCCACCCCATGAAATTGACTGTGACAAACGCTGCGCAGGCCATTGAGTAACCACAGACATGCTGGCGAAGTTCGGATTTCTATACAAACCATGAGGAGTCTTTAACTTTACAGCAGTTGCAATATTTTGCGGTTCTATTCAGTTGTTGGTGGTCTGCGACTGATTCCAAAATATTGCAAAGACTTGCAAAGCCCGTTTGGTTTTATGTTCTTGTTCCAATTCCCCAGCAATGGAGCTGACTTCATTCCAAAAGTGTCTTGAACGAATGGAAGAACTCTTGAGATAAAAACACTCCGAGCAGGTTCCAGCACCACCCTGTTATGGGCTGTGAACACAACCAAATCCGCCCTCATGCGGAATCCCATAAACAAACAGTTGCATACTTAGTTTTTTTGTTGCGTCCTGCATGCGAAATCGCTGTCAAGACAAACTTTGCCTCTACTGCCCTGAAGTTGAAGTAGTCGCAGGCTGAGCAGTCCACACAAGTAATACAGCCCAATAGCCTGTGCTGCCAACCACTGCTATGTCTGTAGACTTGCACTTAACCAACCAACTCTGTTTCTCATTTCCCAGTTTGCCGTGTTCTGCCTTAACCTTATCTTGTATTGTTTTGATTTTGTTTCGCGTGTGTTCTCCCCATGGATTACAAGTGATAGAAATTGATAGAAGCCCTGAGGAATCTGAAGATATTTCGTCAGGACTTTTTGAAGCTATCTGCCCACCACCTCGGTCTTTCTCCTGTCTCAGATCGCGGAGAGACGACACCGCACACTGCGGAGAGAGTCTTTGGTAAACGCCGATTGTCGACAGCATTCGTCAGGAACCGTTGGCCGGGACACCTGTATCGATTTGTATCGATTTGTATCGATTTGTATCATTCTGATTCTAGGCAAATCTAGGCACGGCTTCAAATGAATCAAAGTTTTGCAGTTGAATCAAATGCATTCAAATGCTGCACAATCTGAAATCGTTGAAATCAAAGGATAGCATCTTGCCACTTGGTTCTGTGGCTGTGGGGTTCCGGTTTACACCGCCTCATTCCCCAGTTTCCCTCGCTCATGCTGAACTCACTGATGGCATCGGCACATCAATTGGCCAGTCGATGTCCAACACCACAGGCCGCTTAGCCAACCTTGGCATCTGATGACATCCCAAATCGTGCTATTTAATGCTATTTCTGCATCGCATGCAAACCGATGCTGGATACTGTTGGTGTCGCCTCTCACAACTTAGACTCTAATCAGAATCCTACAATATCCTACAAGTCTCTGGGCTAATATGATCAATGATGATCAATGATGATCAATGATGATCAATGATGATCCATGCATATCAATGCGGTGTTCATTCCAGCCGTGAAACGCTTTGAATGCCCACGGATTAGCGCTGACCGACAGGTCATAGCCGTTGATGGCCATCACAACCTCAGGTGGTCTGTCGATTTTGAAGCTCTGAAATTCCATCGAAAGAGTAGCCGCATGATTGTTCAGGGTCGTTGAATTTCACACAAATGTCAAAAGAAAACAAGATAAAACAAGGTCTACAGAGTCTATGCAGCTTGCACTTCCTTTTAGGAGCCCTCAAATTCAAATCATTTGCAGAGACCATCATCCGGGCTTCAGTAACCATCAGTAACCCCTTTGCCCCCGCAGAAACTCGTTCCACCTCCACCAAGGGACGCCTCCTATAGGCACTTTTGGAGCTTTCCTTGCTGCCAAAGTGCCGTCCCGCACCTGTTGCAGATTCCATTGTTAAGTCATGTTACATTAATGTTACTTCCACCGACACCTGAAACCTGACTCTTTGGATCAGGATGAGATATCACTGTGATTCATGTGGAGGGGTTACTCAACAGCCTAGTTTACTTGCATCAACTGTAGTCAACTGTAGTCATGAGACTGTGATGATCACTGATGCGATGAGTGCATACGTGAGCTCTTGGCACCTCCAGAATCCATGGTGGTACATCTCGAGACAGTCGGACGCCTAGGAGGCCTTCATCTCTGAAGGTGTAGCGAACCTGGGACCAGTGGCTCCAACATCTACACCATATCCACACCATATTTGCAGATCTTCATTCTTCATTACAGCTTGGCGGCTTGGCTGGTATCAGTTGGTATCAGCTCGTCATGTCCACCAGCTCCAATCCCAGAAGGCACACCCTTCGCAGTTTTTTGCACAATGACACAACACAATAACTATCGTTCATCCGTAACATACCACACCTGTTTGTTTGACCAATTGCTTGGCCCAGCCAAGCAGCAATGCCCTTCTTCGGCGGTTTGCTCAGGTTCTCCTTCGACAAAGGAGCCACTGAATTTGCAGCAAAACTCTGCTCTTCTCCAACTAACTCATCATTAGGAACATCTTTTGAATATTCTTTAATTGTACTTTTGCCGTGGGATTTTCTGAACAGTATGTTTTCCATTGTTTTCCTACGGCAACTTAAGTTCTGTCAAGGAGTTAGTTGCCTTGGAAATTTCTTTTGTTCAAAATATGGTCATTGTGCGTGTGCGGTTCAGCATTGATCTACTTGGATCCGCATCCACCACTCCTGCGCCACCTGTCTTGCTGCCAACGCCTGAAGTATCTGAAGTCAAGGTGGTAACATCTTGCCAAATCTTGCCTGTAACAAAGGATGATCAACGGTAGCAAAGGAAAAGACCGGTTTTGTATGGTTTTGTTGCCGTCGTGGCAGAAAAGGCAAGTTTCTCTGCACATTTCACTGTCCACTTCAGGTCAGTGTTTTTCCCTTTGAGGCCTCTGGGGTATCTTCCTCTTCGTCATCCTCCTCGAAAGAGCACTGAATTTGTGGACTTGGGTGGTTTATCGTCACGGTTCCAACACATTGGCTCCATACCAGTGTTGCCCGTCGAAAAAAAAAACAACAAAACAACATCATTCAGAAAAGCAAGCTATCAGGACAGCTGCACAAGGTTCTCGAGGTTCCACCGTTCCACCCTCACCTTGCTGGAAACAGGAGAAGCAGTGCCAGGGCTGGCATAGCTTTGCTCCAAGCGTTTCTCCCCCTCAATGTCGTCGGTGCGAGCCTCACCAGCAAATGAGACAGGAACAGCGCGAGACTCACAAGTGTCAGCCGGAAATCTCGAGGGTGGCAATGACCCAAGTGGATTAACGTGGGTTGACATGCAATCTTCAGATATCTTCAGTCCATCTCATCGACTTCACATCACTTGTAATCCCATGTTCCATGGTTCCATGGAATCCGTTTTGTCTGCCTTCTTTCTCGGCTGGGCAGGTAGCTCACTATTGGCGTTGCCCACCCACACAACACTGTCCTGTACTGGTGCAGCATCTGGTGTCGGCAAGTCACGCAAACAGCACTTTTCTTTGAAATCAACTGCCTTGTTGGAGATTGTGGGATGACACAGTAGAGGTCTGCTGGCACGACTTCACAGTCTAGATAGTATTGGAAAACTGCTGCAAAGGCCCGTGCAAAATACATCATCCGATCTGGTTCCAGAGATGTTCGAAATAGTCTTACAAACTGGGCAGATTCCACTACTCTGCTACGTATTGGTATAAGACATGCCGCTGCATCTCATTTGGAAACAAGCTCCTTCAACTGTGCAGTGTGCCGCCGCCAGGCTTCACCATCTTTGTTTTTCAGAGCCTCTAAGGCCAATTCACCAAGAGCTTCGTCCTGGCGACAGTCTCCAGAAATTGATATGAAAAATATGAAAACTGATTAAACCAGTTTTATCCAGTTTCAAGATATTTCAAGGGTTTGTTCATCGTCAATGTTCGGTTTTTTTGCTATGCCCTACCAGTGTTTTGCTAAGCCGCTAAGCAGTCATTCCCAGGAACATAGCAATCAGGCTCGCAAGTTTGTGGTCTCTCGAATTTGCCATGGCAGGCGATCTTTTCTGCTTCAAACAAGACTTGCCTTGGCTAGGGACTTGGGCTCTTTTTCTTGCTCTTTCTGGGCCTGAAGCCAAGAATCATATCATCATAATTCATCATATATAAATGTAGTGAATTCATGTGAATTCTGTTGCATCTGCCATGTTGGAAGTACTGCATACGGTGATCATCTGTGACCAGTCTTCAGTCATGTGAAAGGCCTCCACTTCCCTTCTCGGGAAAGGGCAGGCTGTGGTACCTGGACCCGAATCTACATCTGCATAAGATGGTATAATCTGCTCCCACTACATGCTACAAAAACAGCCCATTCGAATCTTTTAGATTTTAGATTCATCTCAAAAGAAAACTGCAAACTTTGACCGAATTGTAGAGCAAACACTTCCACAAATCAAAAGCAATCGTGGACACAGAAGGCCTGCAGGCAACTGCCGTAAGTCCTCTCGCTTCATGCAGTCCATCGGGCTCAGCCTTGCTCCATGGTCAACAGTAAGCTTGAAAAGGTGGACAGATAAACTTCTCGACTACCCACAGTAATTCAACTTGATTCAGGGACCGGACCTAAATTCTTGTTCAAGGATGTTCAAGGTATTAGTATTTGAAGAAAACCGAGACAGCTTGCATTGCCCTTGGTGCCACTTGTATCCCACCCACGCCAGGAAACGAGAGCGCATGGAGCCACTTTCGTTTCGAGGCCACCCAACCAAGGCCTGCAGCCGTCGAACAGCGGGAATCCACTGGTCTGAGCTTCAATGGCAACTAAATGCAACTAATACTCTAGCGGCTCTAGCGGCTATTGTCACTAGCATGGATGATGATGATGATGATGATGATGATGATGATGATGACGATGACGACGACGACGACGGTGTCTGCATGCGTCTATGCATCTCATGACCAAAAACACATGAAAAACAACAGGTCGTGCGCCCAGTGCCATAGTGCCATCGGATGCCATCGGCCTATACAACGACAAGCGTGTTCTCGCCTTGGGGCCTGCCAAAGAAACAACCCTGCAGAAGGAAGGGAGTGCTGGGAGTGCTGGGAGTGCTGTGATTCCAAGACGTGCCTTGAACGGGGGCCGCTGATAGAAAATGTCAGCTGTCCCGAAAAGGTGATAACCTCAAGCGCTTGAGATCGACTCAGAAGGATGTTCAAATGTGTTTCCGTCCTTCCACGCGATGGGATGGGGGGATAGGATTGGCCAGTCATGGATCTGTCGAGCTGTTGATCAATTTGATCACTTCTCGAGTGACTCTCAAACCCTGGGGTCGGACGAGGCTCCAGTGCGCCACAGAGTTCGGCAAGAGGAGGGGCAGCCACCTCCTGGTCAACATGCAACCTTTACAGAAAGATACTGAAAAATACTGAAAGTCAATCAGAACCTATCAGAACCAATAATTTGTTTGCCACTCCACTCAGTCCCAAGAAAAACTCAGAACTTTGCATAAATATGTACTGTATATATACATACATACATACATACATACATACATAACATAACATAACATAACATAACATTACATTACATTACATTACATACATACAAACAAACAAACAAACAAACGATATATATATATATATATGATTATATATGTATATAATATACAAACAAACGAACGAGCGAACGAGCGAGCAAGCAAGCAAGCAAGCAAACAAACATTATAAAAGTGCATAAATCAGTTCTATCAAAAACCACCAGCATGATTAGAGAGCGCCTGCCACGGTCGCAGTTCTGCCACTTGGCCAGGCTTTGCCGCCTCCTGCGAAGGCTCTCGTTGAATGATCTTGGCCAAAGACGGACGAATCAAATTAATAGTAATTATATGTAATTATATGATATTATATGTAATTATGTGAAATATCACTACTACGGCACGGCTCCAGAACGATCCAATTCCAGCATATTTTAGCCACAAAACAGATCAAAACAGTTTACCTAAATCGATTCTATGGCCCCAGTCGTCCGGCGAAGTGTCTCCCTCCATTTTCCTGTCACCGTCCTCGAGTTTTTGATCCAAGCCAGATGGCCAAGCAGTAGTGAGCAGAAGATCTACACCACCTAAGCTAAACCATAAGAAAAAGCATACCCAGGACGGATGGAAAGTCCAAACTGCACGGAACATGTTTGAAAATCATTGAAAATCAAGGCAGTGTAGTTGGCTCGTCATTGCTTGGCTGTCCTATCTGCCACAAGGATTGCATACCAGATATCCCAGATACCCTCATGTTTGCATACATGAAATATCCTGAAATATCAAGAAATATCCTGAAATATCTGTTTCCTCAATAGAAAGGAAGACCCCGTGATTTATTATGGTACTACGCCATTCATACCAGATCAGCTACCATTACCAAGCCGAACCTCCCCCAGAGAAGATGTAGATTGATTCAGATTGACTCAACTTCGTTGAAGGCACGTTTCCACTTGTCCTCTGCGACCACTCGCCTAGCAAGGCAAACAAGTCGGTTCAGCCAGGGACAACTGTATACTTGAACCCATTAAGCAGAAGAGTTGCCAACAAATATCATCGCATATCAGCAGCACACTATCCTTGAATGTCCAGGAGTTATTCAGCTTCAAAGATCTCCATTACAGCGGTGATCTCGGTTGTTGATTCCAACCTGAGGTTGTTCACAGCCCGAGCTGTGAAAGCCCCTCCAACGAAGTCCACGTCTGGGGTACTGTACCTGGGAGTTCTCAATCTGAACTACATAGCAACTACATGGCAACATATGGCAACTATGCGCTGACCGGATCGCGGAAGTTCGCCGTGTCTCCGCTACTTTTTTCTTTTGTTCCCCACCTGCCAGGTGAGGGTCTCTAGTTTTCAACAGAGGTATTTCTCCTCTTCCTTCTTCCTCTTCTCCTCCTCCTCGTTCTCCTCCTTCGTCCTCGTCCACCTTCTCCGCCTCTTGCTTCTGCCAGCTTGTCAGGACTTTGGGCATGAACGGGTCCGAGCCTTGTGGCGAGGTCCGGATGCAGTGCAGGGCGCCTGGACCCGACCATATCGCCAGCTCCGGATGCTGTGGGGCATGCCAGGAAGAATGTCAGAATAGATGCGAGGTAGAATGCCAGAAAGAATTAGAATGTCAGATAAAATGTCAGAATGATGTCAGTCAGGGTGGGGATCACTCGAGGTAAAGTAATTTTGACAAGTGTTTGAAACCAAATCCCAAACCTGGCCATGCATCTTGCATGCCTCTCTTCTGGAGAACATAAACACATTCCAAAGTTGGTTCAGTTCTCGTCTTCAAAATCTTTCAAATGTCTCACCGCCCAAGTGAAGCCCAATCCTTGCAGGATCATAGTAGCCAGAAAGAAAAGCCACGCGCAGGCCACAGATCCTGAGACTTCGATAAGAATTCCAGGTAGAGAGGACAAAGTGTGATCAAATTATCCATTTAATTTATAATGATTTATATAAATCCATTCAACAAGCTTCGGCAAACGCAATTAGCTGTGACAAGCTGCGTCTTCACTCCATAGCCGCCCAAGAAGTGCAGATTTTCACACAAGGTACCTGAGAAGTGAGCCATGTCGTCCCGACTTGCGAGAAGCTATCCATCCAGAGGCACGCTTGAAAAATGCACGAAGATACACCTCCCCAGACTCTCGGCGTATTAAAAGCAAAAAAACATGCTATGAACGGTTTGAAGACGCTTGGAACACGCTTGAACCGTGAACAACCAATGTACGGACCCGAGGTGACTCGAGTGTCTGAGCTGCTGACGGCCCAGCGGAGCTGCCTGAAGCAGTGCGGCGTTGCTATCGATGAAGAAAGTCCTCAGCGCGCCACGGGATGCCGTGCCGCGCAGGGCATGCCGACGCCGCATGGAAATTTCAAAGAACGGTTAGATTGATTAGATATGAATCGTAAGTATGAAATGGTATGAATAGGCTGAACAGGTATGACATATGACTCATATGACCACAAAACATATACTCTTGGTTCTTGTCTTTTGCTACATGGCGGCTCTGGTCATGGAATCGTCAGCACTGGGCTCCGTGTTTCTCACTCATACTGTTGTATACTAGCGTCGATGTCATTCATTTGTTTTACGTGGAAGCAAACGTGAATTGCAGCCAATGTCACCAATGTCCTCAAGTCATTAAAATGTCATTAACTCGTTTTCAGTCCAGGTTGCAAACACTCAGTGCATCTCAGTGCAATGAAACCGAGTCATACCGAGTCGCTCGATGGGCGGCTTCTTTTCCCCTCGGAGGTATGCCAACATGCCTCCTGAGAACCACCCCCAGGTCACCCCCATGGCTTCCAGGTGCATCTTGCTCCGCCAACACAATCGAATTACATGGTCGAAGTAGGCAGCTACCAACCCACAAATCAAAGGGTGTACATTTTTTCATTCCAGTGAAATGACAATTAAATCCAGATAAATCATGATAAATCCAGCAACTTCACCCAAACCATGCACTTCTCTCCTTCGGCCTCATCTGGCAGCAAGCGGCCGACGCATAAAAGTGCCTCGCATGTGTAAATGTCCACGCCACGTACATCAAAACGCACTACCCTCCGCTAATAGGATGGACATGGATGGACTATAAGAATCTATATGGTCTATACGGACTATTCACGCTCTGGCAACTTGGCCGTCGTACGTTTTGTAACGTCTTCACTTTGAACCCCAAGAACTCGCCCAAATACCCCTTCTTTGGGCAATTCTCTGTGCTAAATCACGCGTTCAAGTCTTTCAACTTGAAAGATAAAGAAAGCAAACCAATTTCACAATGTCCCAAGTTCATCCAAGTTCAACATCATGCAAATCTCAACCGCAAGGCGTTGCATTTCCAATCTTCTGACAACACATTTTGCCCGCCTCGATACCACCAACTTTGGCTGCTTGGGCCTACGTGGGCATCGTGCGCACCAGCTGGAACACCATCCCACACCCAGCCAATCAGAAAAACATCGGCATACATCGGCCATACATGTTGTGTTCTTTCACCCTGCATGCCAAAGTCCCAACATGTCTTAAGCCAAACAGCATGCTCCTTTGCAGCAAGCGGCCTGTGCTGTCGAAAACAGCTTCTCCTGATTCAGTAATCTGCCAGAAAACAAGAATCACGCTTGAATCGCACTTCAGTTGCACAAAAGGTCTGCGAGTCACACTGCGCCAGTCACACTGCCACAGCACAAGGCATTTTGCAAAGCATTGAAGTTCTCCAAGTCCGAGGTGCTAAGTGACCCCTTGGATCACCTGCTACGAAGAGCTTGTGCGGCTGCGCCTGACCAAATGTTAACAGTGTTAACATGTTTTGATATTCTCCGGCTGTAAGCCTTGTAAGCATGGAATGATTGAAATATGTTTCAGATCCACTAGATTCACCTCAGCCTCTGAGTCAATCAGGATTTGAGTCCACACATAGCATCGTCCGCATAGCTGCCTCCAAGGCCAATTTTTCGGCCACCTTTCGCTTCAGCGCCTCAGTCATGGAGCGGAATGGGACTGGAATGTGAGCTGCGTTGGCGTTGCCTGTAGATTCACTACCTGCTTCATCCTGGTGCTCCTTGGCTCCATGGTGCAACCAAGGAGCTGCCTCTTTTTCTGCCTGACGGAAACCAACGTCATGGTGTGCCAAACTCTGACAGTAGACCAGGATTTGGAGATTTTGGAGTGCTTCCAAGTATCTTTCCAATTGTGGTCTATCTTGCTCTTGCACTTGATGATCTTGATGGAATGTGAATTAAGAAACAAACACAGCTGTTCCAGTGCCAAGCCAAACAACTTGCAGTTTTCGAAGGATTCGCAAAGAAAACAGCCTGCTCCTTCTTCTTCTTGTCTTCTGCCTGATTCCACACAAAATGAACACTTTGTAGAGAGCTATGACTCGTCTCGTCAAAAAATCAGCATTCAACATATTTCAAAAAAGCATGTCTATGCATTTCTCATCATTTCTCCGCTTCTCCTACTTCTGCCAAGGCAGGACTCGATGAGAGGCGGTTTGTGTAGTGTAGCCACAAGTGCAATCTTTACAAATCGTCAATGAGAAAAGTGAGAAAATCCCTCTGCGATTGCTCTGCAGTAGTGGACCGCTAACTGGTTGGAATTAAGCATCAACAAAACATCGCAAAGGGGAACAGGTTCATAGTAGCATGGACACAAACCCCTGCTACCTCCTTCTTGATCCTGTCAAGCTCATGGTATCCTTAGAAATTGTGTGCAATCGGCATCAACATCATCAAATATATATATATATACATATATATATATATACACATTTATTTTTATATTCTATTATATTATAATATATATATATATGATACATATATAATACATATATATACAGTTGTACGGGAAACGAATGCTTTGTCAACATCCGCTGCATCTCGCTGCTATGTTGTCTTGAAGTGCACCAAGTCATGAAGATTTGCTCGCGACTTCGATTCACTGTGCGTTTGCAGAAGCCGAACAGGGATGAATCAGGGATGAACTACTCGGATGAACAGGGGACATTGACATTGGGTCACCTTGATGAACTCGGATGTGTCCATTTCCGGTCTGCAGCCCAGAAGCTATCCATCATGTAAGCCTAAGTGCACCAGTCCAACGAGACATGATTAAGCATGATTAGGCCTGTTTCTTCATGTTTCTTCTGGACGGTCCAAGAAAGAACAGAGGCGGTCTGGAAACCTCCTGTTAGCCTGGAAGAAAAAAATGTTGCCTCTCAGACCCACATCCAGGTCGCATCTAAGACACTTCTGTGACACTCGAATTGGACCAGTTTTAAATCAATAACACATTTTGTAGCTGCCAGGCAGCATTGTGCTCCCTCTCGGCTGCCCGCTTTCGGGCGCGCTCCCGCGCCTCTTTCCTTTGTGGTTGCAGGGGTGCCCTGGCTAAGATCTCTAAGTGTTAGGATTGAAGATTGAAGTTAGACTTTCATCTTTCAAGATGGCTTTAGAAATGCTTTTGACCTGGGCGACTTAGACTGGCCGACTTTGGTTAAATGGAGGTGTCTAGACTCTAGACAAACTTCATCATCTTCATCACATAATTAGCATAATGAATCATAATGAGCCTTGGGTGAAGAGTGGCTGTGTGCTGCCAAAGCTCATGTCATCCGTCATGACCTGGATGCATCAAGACCAAGTGACACCGAGTGACACCGAGTGACACCAAGTGAGGCGTGCAAGGCGAGGTTGAGATAGGTCCGATAGGTTGAGGGTATGGAGGGGATCTGTGGAGGAAAACCTCCACACCTGAAGAACTAGTGCCTTGTCACTCGATGCAAGTTCCAGCTCTCTGGGATCAAATACCTCTTGAAAGACCTTGATAGCATTCTACAGCCACATCAAGGTAAACAAATGTAAACAATAACCTTCAGACCTCAGTCCAAATCGGATGGGAGTGCGGTGTGAGCTTCCAAGATAAAGTGGTTGACAAGTCGACAAGCCTTTCAATATCTATTAATATGCCATACAAATCCGGCAATATGTGAAATATATTGAAATATGCAAAAGTTTATTGAGCTTTCCATTTTTTTCCTTGTCTTCCTGCAGCGATTGGAACAAAGCATGGTCCCTGCGCCTGGCCTGAAAAAATGCGGTTGCCGCGGGGAGCAAAAGTGGTGCGCAAAATTTAGGATAGGGCCTGTTGGGCTCTCGTGGGCTCTCCAAACTCAGTTGACTTCAATACACGTCAACTGCATGTAAATATAAATAAATCATGCGGAACTTTGAAGAACATAGAAGGCCAGCTCTGTTGCAAAGAAGCGAGCTATAGAAAGCTGCTCGGAATCTGAAAAGTGCTGTGGGTTTGCATTGCATTTATTTTCATTGCACATCTCTGTCTGTGGTATGATTCTTATGTACTCCGAGTTCCTAAATTTGCCACTGATGTCTGGCCCACGGTTTTGTTTGAGCAGAAGCCTTCAAGCAGGAAACGTTGTCTGAGTTGTGCAGCTGAAAGAGAATCGCACTGAACACTGAGGCACTATAGAAGCAACATTGCAGCCGCGGTGCGACTTTTCCGATCGAAGCTCATCAACTTATGGATGATGTCAAAGGCGCTGAGACCGCCAAAACAAAAGACATTCATTCAATATATCAAGTGAGCATAATTGAACCATTTAGCGAAGTATGCTAAAGGCACCACTATAGTTGGAATTTCAATCTCGAGTCTCTGTCTCTCTTGTAGAATGATCCATAACACCACCGCCGCCCCACTTCGTGCAGTAGCGGCCGCCGCTGCACTTGATTCCGTTGAAGAATCCGTTGCGGCATTTGGCCCAGGTCAGGCATTTTTTGCCGTTCTCCTCATTGTCATTCTGCAAGTCATTCTCTTCCTGCATGTTGAGCTCACCATCGGTCGAATCGGCTTCTTGATTCTGACCCTCAATGTCTTTTGCAGACTCTTCCTCGCCTTCTTGCAAGAGGCCCCAAGTGACACAGTAGCGGCTGCCGTGGCAGTTGATGCCGTTGAAAAAGCCGTTGCGGCAACTCACGTACTTCTTGCAAACACGACCACCGCCCCACTTCGTGCAGTAGCGGCCGCCGCTGCACTTGATTCCGTTGAAGAATCCGTTGCGGCAGTTGGCCCAGGTCAGGCATTTTTTGCCGTTCTCCTCATTGTCATTCTGCAAGTCATTCTCTTCCTGCATGTTGAGCTCACCATCGGTCGAATCGGCTTCTTGATTCTGACTCTCAATGTCTTGTGCAGACTCTTGCTCGCCTTCTTGCAAAAGGCCCCAACTGACACAGTAGCGGCTGCCGTGGCAGTTGATGCCGTTGAAAAAGCCGTTGCGGCAACTCACGTACTTTCTGCAAACACGGCCACCGCTCCTCCACCTTCTGCGACCTCCATAACCACCGCCGCCCCACCTTGTGCAATAGCGGCCTCCATTGCACCGGATTCCACGCCAGAATCCCCCGCGGCAGTTGGCCCAGCTCAAGCAATGTCCTTCGTTTTCCGCATTCTCATTCTGCAAGTCATTCTCTTCCTGCATGTTGAGCTCACCATCAGTCGAATCGGCTTCTTGATGCTGACTCTCAATGTCTTGTGCAGACTCTTCCTCGCCTTCTTGCAAGAGGCCCCAAGTGACACAGTAGCGGCTGCCGTGGCAGTTGATGCCATTGAAAAAGCCGTTGCGGCAACTCACGTACTTCTTGCAAACACGACCACCGCCCCACTTCGTGCAGTAGCGGCCGCCGCTGCACTTGATTCCGTTGAAGAATCCGTTGCGGCAGTTGGCCCAGGTCAGGCATTTTTTGCCGTTCTCCTCATTGTCATTCTGCAAGTCATTCTCTTCCTGCATGTTGAGCTCACCATCGGTCGAATCGGCTTCTTGATTCTGACTCTCAATGTCTTGTGCAGACTCTTCCTCGCCTTCTTGCAAGAGGCCCCAAGTGACACAGTAGCGGCTGCCGTGGCAGTTGATGCCGTTGAAAAAGCCGTTGCGGCAACTCACGTACTTCTTGCAAACACGACCACCGCCCCACTTCGTGCAGTAGCGACCGCCGCTGCACTTGATTCCGTTGAAGAATCCGTTGCGGCAGTTGGCCCAGGTCAGGCATTTTTTGCCGTTCTCCTCATTGTCATTCTGCAAGTCATTCTCTTCCTGCATGTTGAGCTCACCATCGGTCGAATCGGCTTCTTGATTCTGACTCTCAATGTCTTGTGCAGACTCTTCCTCGCCTTCTTGCAAGAGGCCCCAAGTGACACAGTAGCGGCTGCCGTGGCAGTTGATGCCGTTGAAAAAGCCGTTGCGGCAACTCACGTACTTCTTGCAAACACGACCACCGCCCCACTTCGTGCAGTAGCGGCCGCCGCTGCACTTGATTCCGTTGAAGAATCCGTTGCGGCAGTTGGCCCAGGTCAGGCATTTTTTGCCGTTCTCCTCATTGTCATTCTGCAAGTCATTCTCTTCCTGCATGTTGAGCTCACCATCGGTCGAATCGGCTTCTTGATTCTGACTCTCAATGTCTTGTGCAGACTCTTCCTCGCCTTCTTGCAAGAGGCCCCAAGTGACACAGTAGCGGCTGCCGTGGCAGTTGATGCCATTGAAAAAGCCGTTGCGGCAACTCACGTACTTCTTGCAAACACGACCACCGCCCCACTTCGTGCAGTAGCGGCCGCCGCTGCACTTGATTCCGTTGAAGAATCCGTTGCGGCAGTTGGCCCAGGTCAGGCATTTTTTGCCGTTCTCCTCATTGTCATTCTGCAAGTCATTCTCTTCCTGCATGTTGAGCTCACCATCGGTCGAATCGGCTTCTTGATTCTGACTCTCAATGTCTTGTGCAGACTCTTCCTCGCCTTCTTGCAAGAGGCCCCAAGTGACACAGTAGCGGCTGCCGTGGCAGTTGATGCCATTGAAAAAGCCGTTGCGGCAACTCACGTACTTCTTGCAAACACGACCACCGCCCCACTTCGTGCAGTAGCGGCCGCCGCTGCACTTGATTCCGTTGAAGAATCCGTTGCGGCAGTTGGCCCAGGTCAGGCATTTTTTGCTGTTCTCTTCGTCCTGTAGATTGCTGCCGTGAACTTCTTGCAATTCCGCACTGGAGCCTCAAGGGCTAGTTGATTCGGAATGAGGTGTTTTGTGTGGTGCACTGGAAACTCTGACTTGCTTCTTGAATTGTGGGTGGACTAAACTCAAGCCCGCTTGCTCATGTTTGGTTTTGATCCAGTTTGCAATCAACCACGGCGGGAAGTTGCGGGCAAAGTGCCCACACAAACTCTACCACACCTTAAATGTGCCAGGTTTATTTTATTTTATTTTTGGCTATCATTTTTCAACATTGTCTTTGTGGCCCGTGCACAGGAAACAGTCTTGAAAGCACATGCGGTCCTTATAATTCATTCATCAGGCTTTCCATCATTCCTCCCATGAAAGTCCCTTGCGCCTTTCTCCACAGCCATTTTCTTTGCCCGAAGGTGAAGCATCTCCAAGCTGCACTCATTACCTTCACATTCATCATCCAACAAAACGTCGATGGCATGCACTGCCACAGCAAGAGAGATGACAAGAGTTGGACGAAGCCACATCGCGGTAAAGGGTCGAAGCGAGGTCAAAAGCAAAGAAAACAAAAACAAATCTCAAAATTGAAACGCTTTTTGCAAGAGCCAAAGCTTCCATCGTGCAGGGATCATAGTTTCTGACACCAACGGATTCACAGGGTATGATTTATGCTGTTCGCCTTGATATTTTTGATGTTTCTGTTTCAGGCTGCTCTGCAATCTACATATCAGAAAGGATGCAAAAGAAAGGTTTGAAAGTTTGAAATAACCAACGCATGCATTCCGGCCAAAAGCTTGCAAATATTTGCAAATTTGCAAATGTTGGTTCATTCTGACTCGTTTTGACTCGCGTCGCATTGGTCATCAGTGCACTGTGGAAGAAACTTTCGTAAACTCCACGGCTCTGGATCCTCTAATCGAGGACCGAGGACTGCACTGAGCTCTCGGCATTTGAATCTGAGAGTTTCTCCATGTTTCTCCCGATCCAACGTGACAAATGTGGTCTTTGGCAGCATAAACGTAGCTTATGGGATGCTTGTGGGTAGTCTCGCCGTGTTTGCGAACAAAAACAGTTTTCAAGTGGAGTTTCATCTCCATCACCGAAACTTTGTGATCTTGGTTTGGTGTTTTGCATCTGCATCTCGGTTATATGAACCCTTCTACGCTGTACTGCACTCCTGATGCTATGTAACTGTTTTTAATAGAACCTGTGTGCCTTACGTGGTTTTGTTGGGGGTTTTCTTTTGCCCAATAATGTGTCCGAAGGACCCATGGAGAAACTTAAATCCAAACAAATGTGATCTCAGATCTGTCGCGTCTTAGCACTCGCATCTGAGCGAGCCCTTCACAGCAGTGCTGCGACAAAAATCTAATTGGACCTGGGCAAATTTGAGAGAACGGACACAACAAATTTTGGTTCTGAATCTACAAACATTCCTAACCCAATCTCGTCCCGCACAAGGGCGGGGATTAGGATGTCTCAGGCACAACAACTCACTTGTAAAAACGATCCAGTTTCACAGTCTGTCATGTTCCAACTTCACTTTCTGGTTCGCATGTCTATTCACGCTGGGTTCCATGTTTTGAACACATTTCGTGAATATGCGTGTAAAATATATACAAAACATTTTTTGATATATGTATAGACATGTGTACGTATATTACCACAGGAAATTTAGAAGTCTAAACTCCGTTCAATGGAAAATACGGTGAAAAGGAAAATGTGGCCAATCACAACAATACATCACCACAACAATACATCATCACAACAATACATCATCACAACAATACATCATCACAACAACACATCATCACAACAACACATCATCACAACCATACATCACCACAACAGAACATCATGACAACAATACGTCCTCACAACAACACATCATCACAACCATACATCACCACAACAATACATCATCACAACAATACATCATCACAACAATACATTATCACAACAACACGTCATCACAACAACACATCATCACAACAATACATCACCACAACAATACATCATCACAACAATACATCATCACAACAATACATTATCACAACAACACATCATCACAACAACACATCATCACAACAATACATCACCACAACAATACATCATCACAACAATGCATCATCACAACAATACATCATCACAACAATACATCATCACAACAATATGTCATCACAACAATACATCATTCACAACTACACTGCACAGTAGAACTCAGGTGTGCAGACCGCACTGTGCTGTAATGGCTGCGTCCATGTTTGTGATGGCAGTCTTGGCTGGCGCAGTTGTAATGTAGTTCGCAGGCCAGTGCTTGCAGATTGCACTGGACTTGCTGTGTCAGAGTGATGATTGGAGGTTAGAAATCGCACATGAATAGTGGCTCCCGGCGTTGATGTAGGGAACCTCGTTTGTGCGACGGGTGCGGCTCATGCTCGGTTTCGCTCGGGATCGTCCTCCACTAGTAAAGTAGATTTCGGGTGCGCAGATAGCAGTGGAATGGCTGCATCCATGTTGTTGATTGCCGATGTGGCCGACGCAGTTGTAATGTGATTTGCAAAGCAATGCTTGCAAATGGCAGAAGATTTGCTGCGTAAAGGTGATGCTCGGACGTTTGAAATCGCACGAAGCCCCATGTTTTCTCGCATAAAGTGGCTCCCGGCGTCCATGGGCGGAACCTCAATTGTGCGACGGGCGCGGCTCATGCTCGGTTTCGCCCGGACGCGTCCTCCACTGTGAAGTTGTAAAGTAGAATTCGGGCGTGCAGATCGCAATGAAAAATGGCTGCATCCATGCTGTTGATTGCTGATGTGGTCGACGCAGTTGTCATGTGATTTGCAAGGCAATGCTTGCAGATGGCAGTGGATTTGCTGCATCAAGGTGAGGTTCGGACGATTGAAATCGAACGAAACCTCGTGTTTTCTCGCATAAAGTGGCTCCCGGCGTCGGTGGGGGGGAACCTCGTTTGTCGTGCGACGGGCGCGGCTCATGCTCGGTTTCGCCCGGACGCGTCCTCCACTGCAAAGTATAATCTGGGTGTGCAGACCGCAGTGAAAATGGCTGCATCCATGTTGTTGATTGCCGATGTGGACAACGCGGTTGTAGTGTGATTTGCAAGGCAACGCTTGCAGATGGCAGTGGATTTGCTGCATCAAGGTGAGGTTCGGACGATTGAAATCGAACGAAACCTCGTGTTTTCTCGCATAAAGTGGCTCCCGGCGTCGATGGGGGGGAACCTCGTTTGTCGTGCGACGGGCGCGGCTGCAAAGTATAATCTGGGTGTGCAGACCGCAGTGAAAATGGCTGCATCCATGTTGTTGATTGCCGATGTGGACAACGCGGTTGTAGTGTGATTTGCAAGGCGACGCTTGCAGATTTTAGTGGGATTGCTGCGTGAGGTGATGTTTGGACGTTGGAAACTGCACGAAACCCTTCCTTCTTGCATAAAGTGGCTCCCGGCGTTGATGTAGGGAACCTCGTTTGTGCGACGGGGCTCATGCTCGGTTTCTCTCAGACGCGTCCTCCAGTGTATAAAGTTGTAAAGTAGAATTCGGGTGTGCAGATCGCAATGAAAAATGGCTGCATCCATGCTGTTGATTGCCAATGAGGTCGACGCAGTTGTAGTGTGGTTTGCAAGGCAATGCTTGCAGATGGCAGTGGAATTGCTGTGTCAGGGTGATGATTGGAAGTTAGAAATCGTACGAAACCCCATGTTTTCTCGCATAAAGTGGCTCCCGGCGTCGATGGGCGGAACCGAACCTCAATTGTGCGACGGGCGCGGCTCATGCTCGGTTTCGCCCGGACGCGTCCTCCACTGTAAAGTAGAATTCAGGTGTGCGGATCATACTAGAAATGGCTTCATGCAGGTTCGTGTTTGTGGTCCGGAGTCCTGGTTGATGCAGTGACACTGTGATTTGCAATAGAGTGATTGCAGCCAGTGGAACTGCCGCGTCAAGGTGATGTTTGCGCAAGCTTTGTAGTACGAAGTAGTACTAGGAAGTATTTGTGCAAGCTTTGTAGTACGAAGTAGTAGTGGGAAGTATACTTTGCGCAGGCTTTGTGTACGAAGCGTTTCTTGAAAGTACTTTGTTTTTTTGCAAGGTTGGAAGCTGAACACATATCATTTTAAGCTGTCCAGCATTTGCGGCCCAAACGTTGGGATCTTCTAGGTGAAGCTTTTTTGTATTGACATGGAGATATTTCGTAAACGAAGATATCAAGCATGGTGGTTCGATTCTGTCGTCGGCCACCACCATTGCCGAGCAAGCGGCCTATTTGGCTTTTGCGTTGATTTGGATCGATGGACCAACAATCTGCAATTTTTCCTTGAAAGAGTGATTTCGCCAAGCAACCTTGGGCTTCCACGTGTATTCAAGATGAACGATGAGCAATATCATTTTCGTGGGTTGGCTGAAGAATGGGAACCAACGATAGCAAAATGGAATTTCTTAGTCCAACGTATGTAAAAATAATCAGAGATAAGTTCTTGGTACTACCTGCAAGTTTTTTTTGGACTGTTGATTTCCAGATCATGTGTCGCGCGACTTGTGATTGCATGGATAGTTTACTGCCCGCAGCCTTTGAGGTTTGGGCTGTAGCGGTTGTGCCATGTACAACTCCAGAGAGACATGTAGATTCCATTCCAAACTCATGCTTGCCAACATATGTATATATTTGCCATCATAGATTTCACCGGGGTAAATATATATATATATATGCGTATATATATGTCCATATGTATGTAAATATATATTATATAAGTATAAATAAATAAATAAATATATATATATGTATGCATGTATATATGTATATATATATATATGTGACATGTGTGTGTGTGTGTGTTCTTGTTTTTGTACGTACAAGGCACAGACGTAGGAAAGGTAGCGTTGCTGCTTCTACTTATTGCGGGTGCTTTGCGCGGAGTGTGCGTGCGTGACTCGGTGGTCCGTGCGCGTGCTCCAGTGGCAAACGGGTGACTCAGTGGTCCTCGTTTGTCTGTGGCCATGGCACACGGTCGAATGTTTGCCACCTTTTAGACTATCTGGAGCGTGAAGATGTTGCTTTGCGTAGTCTGGACAGTCCAGATATACGGTCGTTGTTGCTGACTGGAAGACGAACAAAGACACGGCCGGGGGACGAGGAGCGCACAAGACAGTACAGAAATTTTTGTGAGATTGAATCACAGCTGACCACAGATGAAAGAACAATTAGCAGTTTGGGAAATTGCGCAAGGTGCAGGGACTGGGTGCGGCGCGTGGCAATGTGCCAGAAAAAGAACGTTTTATCGGCATATTGGAGACTCGAGAGGTGGAATTTGCAGCGCCAGAAAAAGATACATACAGTACATGGATAGATAGTAGCTCAAAATTTATAGATAAGGGAAAATTAATAGATGAATGGCTAAAAATATATACATAAATCATAGTAGCTGCATTTTGCACACGGTGGTTCGACCCGACGCGGTGGTCGCCTGCCGATCAGGACGGTGGTTTGACTTGGCGGTCGAGCACCAACACACGCATGGGAGGCACCGGGCCATCAGGTGCGGAGGGTGCCACCGTGTGCAGCGGGGAGGGGCTGCACACTGAAACACAAAGGGATGT